ACCCGGGGACGGCAGGGCTCCCGGCGGCGCCGCGGGGTCCGCGCGGCCGAGCGCCCCCCGCGCGCCGCGCGCCGCGCCCGCCGGCCACTCACCCCTCGGCGGCAGCAGGCGAGATGAGCGCTTGCCCGGAGGCGCATCCTCCTCCGCCGCCGCCGGGGGCGACTCCACCTGCTGCGCACACGGCCCGGCCCTGCCCGGCCCTGCCCAGGCGGCGCGGCCCGGCCCAGCCCGGCTGACGTGTCGCCGGGGGCGCGAGGCCGGCGCGGGCGCCAGGTGAGCTCGCGGGGAGGAGGCGGCCCTTCGCGGCGACGCTTCGCCCGGGCAAGCTGCGCGGCGCCTTCGCGGCTCACCCGCCCCGCTCCCGGCGAGGAGCGGGCAAGCCACGCGGCGCCGTCCCGCCGAGCCCGGGGCTGCTGCTCTGAGCGGACGGGCATCTTTCGCCAGGGCTCCGGGGCCTCCGTGGCTGCCGCTTGGGCGAATCTGGGGCCCCGACCAGGGCGATCGCTTAGCTGGTACGGGACAAAAGCCTCCAGTAGCAAGTCTTTACCCCCCAACTCCCCTGGGAGGTTGGGAACTGTCCCAAAAGGCCTCCCTGGCTCCTTTGCACAGCTCCCCCGCCCCCCCGGTACTTCCAGATGATCAGGGCTACAGCTCCCATCAGCCCCAGCTACTGGGCCAAGGGTTAGGGATTTTGGGAGTGGTAGCCCGAACTACCTGGAAGCAGCCCTTTGGGGAAGGTTGCTTTACACCCGTCCTAGTAACATCGAACTTAAAAGTCAGAATGGACGGGCAGCCAAGCCTGGCTGGACACGTTCAGTCTGGCCGGCTGGGCTATCGGCTAACCAAGGCCAGCAGGCATGGGGAGGTGGCGGGGGGGGGGGGGGGCTCGGGCTCTTCCTGCACTTTCTCCTACAGGCCAGGAGTCTAAGGAAATGCAGGCACCTGGCGGGGAATCACAGTTCTTCATTACCATAAAATAACTAGAAATGGGAAAAGGTAACCAGTTGGGGGGGGGGGGACAGCCTCAGGTGCTTCACCCTACAGACCTGGGTGTTGCTAAGGCCACTGAAATCTTTGGGCTTCTGTGATCTTAACCCTGTGGAATTATTGCTGGTAAAGGCCATCTGCAAGAGTGTGACTCTTGCTTCTTGCAAATAGGATGGGTGGAAAATTCAGTGGTGCAGGCTTCGCTCGGGCACACAGTTGGGCAGAAAAGTGCTCTCCCGGCCTACCGATCTGTTGTAGTTCTTGTTCTGTCTAAAGATGCACTGGATTGCACCCTAAACCAAACTATAAGCTGATCATGGAATGGGAGAAAAAAGGCATTTATATATTAAAAGAATGGTCTCTTTCAATGGTGGGTGAAATGATGAAAACGGATCTTCATGATTTCAAGAGGAAGGCAGAAATCCAACTGAAGCTGGCCTGAGGAAGCAAACTTACTAATTCTGAAAAAGTGATGCTATCCTGCCTTAGGACCTGGATTAGCAAGATTTTATCAAACTTTATTTTTAGTTCAAACATCATGACACTGATCAGGTAGGTAAAACTGAAAGGGGGCTGCGAGCTGCTAAAGAGAAGTGGAGATGAAATTATCCTGTTATTACAGGATATGAAATCTCATTACACTGAGTACATGTTCTAGTGCAGGTACATATAATAGCCTGACAATTTTAAAAATGGGAAGGCTCAATTTCGAAAATGTTATGATCAGGCAACTTGAACCAAGCCACAAGCTCCTTCTCGACTGCTTCTTAAGACAAGCTCAGCACCCGCCCTTGGCGGTGGGGGGGGAGGGTCCCCACTCCAGCTGCTCCAGGTGGGGTCCTCCTGGGTCAGCCCTGGCGGGATTTGCAGAGACCCAGCAGCTGGGGGCAAAGGCCGAGGTTGCCCAGCAGCAGAACGCCAGTGCAGAAGGGGAGGCTGTGGCCAGGCCAACGGGCTCCTGCCAGAAGATGCAGTCGCTGGGCGGAGGGCTCCCCCTCTCCCGTGGCCCATGAGGGACCCTCGCAGGGCTGCCAGGAGGCAGCCCCGGCTCTGTGTAGCTCTCCGCAGCAGCGGTGGGCAGGGTTAGGAAAGGCTCTTCCAGCCCTGCCTGCAAACGGGGCGGGAGCGGTGCCCCCCAGGGCCTGCAGCAGCCTGAGGGCAGCCAAAGACCTCCCAGGCCAGCATTCGCGTTGCCTCCCTCCCTTGGCCAGAGCGAGGTTGCTTTGTGCAGAGCGTCCCTGGGCAGCAGCTTAGGCCAGCACCCCGGCCCTGGGTGACCTTCGTTGTGCAGCACAGGCTCCTGCTGGAAGGAACTGCCAGGAAAGCAGCACTGGAAGAAAGGAAGCGAGGAAGGAACAAAGAGGCCCTGCTGGGGCCTGGAGCCGAAAGAAGGCCGGGCTGGGGGTGTGGGGAGCATGCCAGGAAGCAGCCTCGCTTTATCCTGCCCTGCGAAAACGAGGCCGGAGAGGAACCTCCATGCGGCACTTAGCCTTTGTGGGCAGCGGTTGTGTCAGGCGCTTATCAGCCCGTGCAGCTGAAACCAACAGCCCTTTCGCCTGCCAAATTGCACTTTGACTGCCGCGTTTAGCTATTATCAGAGCGGAACCATCTGAAGCACGACTACAAAGGGCTCGAGGAGTTTTCTCTGGTAGTGGTGAGCTTGGGAGAAATTGGTCCAGTCCACACATTTTGATCTGGACAGATGTCTCCCTGGACCATGCGAGCAAGAAGAGGAGCAACGGCAACCGGTCCTTCTCTGCAGCACCTCTGCCCAAGGTCTTTTGACGGATGGCAGATGCAGGCCACCCCAAGTGCCTGCTCTGGAGGGTGGGGAGTTGAAAGCACTCCACACCTGGGCTGCATCACAGCTCTGGAGCAGGCAAGTGGAATCTCCTGGGCGCTCTGTGGTTTTCCGTTGCCCTGGGCCCTGGACCACTTCCCCCACCAACCTTTTCCACTTCCCCCTAGATTTTGTGAAGTTCAAAGAGGGCCTGCCTTCCGGAAAAGAAGCTCCTGGAGGGGTTTTGGGCTGCGGTTGCCCTGAAGAGGCAAGGCCTGGCTGTACCACTGACAAGCTGAGTTCAGTCTGCATCATATGATCCCGTCATAAGGGCTTATTTCGGTATTTCAGTGGGAGCGGGACACAAACAACAAAGTAGCTTTTATCTTTGCCGTAATTAAGAGCTTTATGGCCTGGAGAGCGGGCCAGGCCAAGTGTCTGCAGAGAGCTGGCCGCGTACTTGCAACACCGAGTTCCACCATTGGCATCGCCCAGCAGAGGGCTTATGCCAGGCAGATGTCCAATAGGTTGTGCTGTGGGAATGGCTTCTCCTGCACGGGGCCCCCAAGTGGAAGGAGAGCCCCACAGGCGGTGCCCACCCCTTCCAGCGCCTGCGGGGCCAAGGAGCCTCGGGCTCATGCATCTGTGGGTGTTTTGAGCTCCTGCAGGTGCGGGATTGGGGCCCTCGCACAACGGACAGGGCAGCACGCATCCCTAGAGTGAACCGCATCTGGCTGCCAGTCAGTTGTGGGAGCCACAGATGCAGACACTCCCGTTCCACCCCCAGACCAGTGAGAAGCCCCAGAGGAGGCTCGTCTGTCGGCATCCTCCTGGAAGGAGCCTGCCCTCCCCAGGGCTCTGGACGCGGCCCACAGGAACCGAGGAGACAGCCTGTCACATCGTGGGAAGCTCTCCCTGGGTCCTCAGACGTCTGCTTCGGCCTGTGTGGACCAGGCTTGCAGGGCCGCCAGCACGGAGGCACGGGAGGGAGGGTAAGGCACCTTCTGGCAGGACGAGCCCCCTTGGTCCAGGGCCTCCTTGGCCAGAAAGCCCCTGCTCCTCCCGGCCCCTGAAGCAGCCGGAGCAGCCCCTCCTCCCATGGCAGCGCTTCTTGTTGGGGGATGTCGCTGGGGCAGCTCTGCAGAGCCAGGGGGGTGCCTGGCGGCTTAGACTCCTGGAGATGGGACTGGGCTTGCAGAGACCCCAGCGCAGGGAAAGATTATTTAGCATTCTGGCCATGGAGCAGTTTGGCCCCCACAGCTGCAGCCCAACGGCCCTTGAGTCTGAAGAGGCTTCCAAGGAAGTTGCGCCGTGGCCCTGCGGAAGGTGCTCGCTCCTCCAGAGACAAGCAGCCCACCACCACCCTCATCCTGTGAGTCGGGCTCCCTGGGGCAGCTCTGGGCATCCTTTGCCAGGGGCACTGCTGGCCAACTTCAGGGCTTCCCTCTAAGCAAAGCCTGCTGCAAAAAGTCTCACCTTCTGGTGTGGGGAAGCTAAATTTCAAAGGAAGTTAGTCATGCAATAAGAAGGCAACACGCAGGCAGCTTGAGACAAATCCCAAAGTGACAGGAGAGAAGGGAGAAGGAAAGAGCAAGCCAGCGAGCGAATGTCACACACCTGGGAGGCCAGGAAACGCTGCGTGGTTTTCCCCGTCAGTTCTATGGACAAGCTGCCCAGGGCCAAGGGGATCTGGGAGGCAGGACTGCCAGCAGCAGCCGCAGATCCATGGAGAGCCGCCGTCTGGTCTGGTCTCTGAGCACGTCTCCTGCAGCCTCCGAGAGCAGCACCCAGCTGGGCTGGCCAGCCCGCCGGCCACTCTGCAGCCCCTCCTAATGACTTTCAGCTGGCTGTCATGTGGCCGGCCTGGCTGATCAAGCGATAAGAGCTTGGCCTTCTTTCCCAAGCCCAGGAGCTTGAGCGCACCAAAGCTTCCTCCCTTGGCTCTGAGAAGCAAGACTGTGTTACACCCCCTGCAGGCCCGGAGACCAGAAGAGGTGTGCTGCGGAAGCCCTGGAGCAGGTGGCTCCTATGGCTCAGCCCTGGCTGTCCGGAGCCCTCCAACCCAGGGGAGCCTGCTGGGCCACAGCCCCTCTGGGCCAGGAGAGACCCCATGTTCTGCAGCCCCCCTCCCCTGGCCCAGTTCGAGGCTCACTTGATCTCATCTTTCTGGCTCATCTCCAGATTGTGTTCCACGGCACTTTGTGCACCTTGTCACGCGCAGTCGTGCGCCCTGCTGCCACTCACGGCTCCCTTTCCTCTGGGGGCAAGTTGCCGCCTGCGCGTGGCCCCAGCCCCTTCCTCCAGAGCCAGCGCAGGATCTCTCAAGCAGCTGAAAGGACAGCACCGATCCCAGCTAAGCAGTCCTGAAGCTGCCCACCTGCCGAGAAAGCACTGTGCGGATCAGGGCCAAGACCATCCAGCTCAGCATCCTCGGCAGGAACCCCAGCACCCAGCAGGCACAGCGTGGAGGCCCATGTCTGTGCATAGGGGAGGGGCACCATCTGTGTTTTAGGGCAACACCCGGACAGAAGAACGTCGCATCTCCTGATCACCGGCTCAAATTTGCACGGATGGGTTCTACCCATCTGCACACACCCTGCCAGGGCTGGCCGCCAAGCACCTGGGCCACCACCGTTTTGAGCAGCCTCCTTTGCAAGGCTCCACCGATCTTCCACGCGTCAGTGAGAAGCTGTGAGGAGGAGCTACAGCGCTCCGGCAGAGTGGAGCACGCCGGACAGCCGATGCCTGGCTTCCCCGCTAGCGGCTCCTGCAGCAGCGAGTCTCCCCGGGAAGGAACCAGGTGAAAAAAAACATGCCCCAGTCTGCTAAGGAAGCACCTGTGGCAGACGCCCCGGAGGGAGTCCCGGACAGGCACAGAGCCAAGCAGTCCTCGTGCCGCCCCCCCCCCCCAGGCTCTGTCTGACCCAACATGATCCGCGGGGCAACTGCCCAATCGCCCCCTTTCCACACAACGCCCTGAGAACCTCCTCATGGGCATGGAGCATGGGAATGGGCCTCGGGGCAGTTGGGGCCAGGGGTCATGTGTGGGGTGTGGGAAGGGTGCCTCTAGGTTGCCCCCGTCAGCCCTGCTTGGGGGGCTGCATCCCTCCAGGGAGCAAGGGCAGTCCAGGGAGCGAAACTGTTCTTCCACACTCTCTGCCCTTCCCCAAACAGCCTTTTCCTCTCCAGCCACTGGGCACCACACTCTTCCCTCCAGACAGGGGAACGGAAGCAGGGGGCTCTGTGAGCAGCCACCATCTGAGCTCACCTCTTGTACAGTGGCCACCACTCAAAAGCGGCACATGAACACCCACCCATTGAAAGAACGGACTGCTAGAAAATAGGCAGCGACACCCACAACTCACTGAGACCAAAAGCGAGGCTGAATCGCAGCCTCCCCTTCACCGCCTCCACAGTCCCAAGGAAACAGTGGGTGGGTCAGACAGTGGGTGAGAGGGGTGTTTCACCAAGAGGCTCTCCACCCCCCTGCCCTGCCCAAGCTGTGCCCCACCGACGGCAGGGGCGTGGCCTGGCAGGGGTAGCCCCTCCTCCATGTGCAGCTCTTAATAGTATATCCAGTAATACAGGAAGCTCCCTGGAACAAGACCTCAGAAGGAGTCCTATTCTGGCCCTGCTTTTTCAGCAAGGCAAAAGCAGCACTGCTCTCACCTCCGAAGGTACTATTTGGTTTTAACCACTGTTGTGACATGCAGGAGTTATCTCTCTCTATCTATTGATCACATTTGTATGCTGCCCATTAGCCAGAGGAAGCCAGTGTGTCCCTCCTTGAATCTCCCCTCCCAGAAATGTCTGAAGGATCAAAAAGTCTCATGACATGCCTAGGTGCAGATCTAAAGATATCACATGTGGTTATAAAACATGAATGTTTAGACACTGTCTCCCTTGCATGTGCCAGAGAGTCTCATTGTCTGCTGGGTACAGTGTTAAATGACCCTGAACTGTGAAGCCACAAGGAAAAACTGAGCACATGAGGAAGTAGAAGACTCTGGCTTTGCCATACGGGTTTCAAGATTCATTCTCTGCCCAGCCACGAAGAACTGGCACACTAATATATTACCTTGAATGATTTGGACAAATTGGCTTGGCTAAGCGAGACAAGCACATAAATATTCCTCTCTTGCACACACTTTACTGTGCTGTACATCGCAAAGGATGGCTGTCTCACTCCACTGCACACAGTTGCACTGCACACGTGGAGAGGGCTCTGAATGAACCCAGCCAGATGAATTTTTAAAGCAGCCCCACAATCTGTCATGTTCTGTCCAGTCCAGGTCCATCAAGGAGCTCTCATGCGGTGGGGATGCTCCATTAGTAGCTGTGCTTCCCCTTAGCACACTTCTGTCCGCCATGATGCATGGGCACCCTTCCCTCCCAGAGCGGCTCCCACAGCCTGCCAGAGAGCGCCTGGGGATCTGATGGACTTCTCCGCAGGGTCCTGTGATCCCAGAGGATTGTCCAAGCAACCAGGATGCTGCACTGGCCCCATCTCAGCCCTGACCACACGCCTCACGGCCACCTGTGCTTCCTGTCCCTCCAGTGGGCTTGCCTTCCCTCCCTGATCCAGCGGCAAGCTCCTGGCCCTAGAGGGGCCACAAGCAGCACGCCGGGCCTCTCCGCCAGCGGCAGTCCACAATCTGCCCGTCCCGCTTCGAGGGAGGGTCCGGCGGGGTCTGGCACGGCTGCGCCCTGGGGCACGCAGGGGGTCCGGGCATGAGAGGGCGGGGAGGAGTGCCGAGCGGCCCGGCCCAGGGTGGGGGCCCCGCCACAGAGCGCCACGCAGCCCGGGCAAGCAGCCTCTTTATTCATTTGAGCAGGGCTCTCCGTCCACCAGCCCGACGCCTGCTCCGCCGCCAGCTCCGTCCTGGGCGCGCGCTCGCTCGCTCGCTCGCTCCGCCGAGGCATCTCCACGCGGTCCGAGGCGCGGTCGAGCTGCGCGCACGCGACCCCCCTCTAGGACTGCTGGCCCGGGGCCCGCGGGGGCGGCTCCCGGTGGGGGCCGCGGCTCCGGGCCTGCTCCTCGAAGACTGGCTTCCAGATGTAGATGCCGCTCGTCACGCCCAGCGCGGCGCACACCAGCAGCTTCGGCAGGGTGAACACGCGCCGCATCGTGCCCGCTCCGCGCAGTCGCGTGTCCCGGAGAAGCGCTTCACGCACACGCGCACCCCATGGTTCGACTCTCGCTCTTCTGCGCACGCGCAAAGAGGAGCTCTCGCGAGATCTCTCGCCTCGGAAAAACGGAGGGGAAGCAAAGCGTAGTTCTGCTGCGCACGCGCAGCTACTCCTTCAGCAGGGACGCCGCCAGGCGGAAGCGGAAGGCGTGAGGGTCGCGTGCTGCCCGTGTCGCCATGGAGCTCGGGCGGACCAAGTCTTCGGTTCTGCTGCGGAAGCGGAAGTCGGTGCTATACCGGCCCGGGGAGGCCGCGGGGGCCCGCGGAGAGGGGGCCGCGGGTGAGCCGCAGCGCCGCATTGGGGCCCTTGCGGCCTGCCTTGCAAGGCCGTCGTGCCCGTGCCATCCCCGAGGCGGAGACCCCACGAGTGCCGGGCAGCGCCTCGACGCGCTCTCTTGCTGCGCTGCCTGCTCGAAGCGCCTCGGGGCCTTTAGCTCGCCCCAGGGAGGGCAGCGGCCGACCGGCCCCGCCTCGCTTGTGCATAGCCCGGGCGCCCCCATGGCACCTGTGACCCCGCGCTCCCGTGTTGCTGCTGTGGAACCGCACGGGGATTGCAGCCGTCCCCGCGCCCCCAAAGGGCGACGACTGGTGTGGGATCTGTGCGGTCGAAATCAGAGTCCCGCAGGCGTGGGGCGCCAGGCCACCGAGCCGGTCTGGCCTGGCGTGGCACCAGACTAGCAGCCGTTTCAGCGCCCGCAAAGGGAGCGTTTCTGCCGCCAAGGCTGTGGTTAGAAGTCAGCCAGCTCCTCTCCTAGATTTCATGATTCTGTGGAAATGCAGAAAATCAATATGCCACCTCAGGAAACAGGCTTTTGAAGACTGGAAAAAAATACAGCATAAAAGTGAGGGTTAAGTGAGGCTTTCTGTCCATTGTTTTCTAGCTATTTTGGGGGAAAACATCTACCTGTGTCTGTTTTCCATCACCTTGCGGCTATTAAACTGCTTCTTAGTCCAGACAAGTTTTGTCCCAGATGAATACTGGCAGTCCCTTGAAGTTGCACATCGCATGGCCTTTGGATATCCTGCTGTGATAAAATTAAATGGATGTTTTCTCTTTCTACTCAGTAGGCCCTGTAGAAATACACAAGTCTTGTGGTGGTATCCAGTAAACAACCTTTCACTGGGCAGTGGGCCTGGGCATGCTTGCTTAAGATTAGTCTGAAACAGGAGGATTTGAGAAATGAGCAGGCAAGGGGGAAGTTCCCCGCTGCCTTAAAAGTGGCTCTTGACAAGTCTAGCAATGGGCCATAACAGGAGATAGGTTTTCTTCTCTAGGGTGGGGGGCAACCTAATTTGGTCATTTTGCAAGCATGCGGCAACTCAGGTTGTGTGTTTAGAGTGGTCTGCCAGCCGCAAGAACCAGCTTCTGTGCTCTCCTTAACACTGGTAATTATGGCCATTTGACCTGGGAATGGACAGAAGGGCTGCGGAGCCACCTCTATCCCCTGCTGTTTGCCAGCCTCTACAGGGTACTGCACCTGCTGTCCAAGGATGACGTCCAGTTGCTGGTGAGTGTGCCCCCCTCCGCCAGCTTGTGGTTCCACAGTGGACAACTGGGCGATTACTTTGCCTGTGATGGGGAGCCTTCAGCACTCCCTTCCTTTGGAGTGAGTGAATGCCTGAGCCGCCGTGGTCACTGAAGGGTGGGCGACAGCTGATCCTCCTGTTGTGGCCCTCTGCCGCTTTTCCGACGGTCAGCCACTGGAGCTCAGAGCTGCCTTGTTCCATCCACAGCAGGGACGTTGCTTGCAGACCTGTTTCTCCTGAGCAACAGAGCGCTGAGGGTCAGATGCAGGGCTACACAAGCCCTTCCCCGCCCTGTGGTAGCATCCGAGCTTGCCACACTCGCGTGCCTTTCCTTGGCTTCCCTCCATGTGTGACTCCCTGATTGAAACGTGTTGCTAGAGGCTACACCCCCCGCGAGGGACCTGGACCAGAAACACTCTGCCTGTTCCCTGCCAGGAAGTGTTTGGGATGGGGTTCTCTCCAGCCTGCCCAGGGATGGAGATTTTGTGGCGCTCATGTCTGGCCTTCGTGGTCCCAAGGGGGAGCCTGTACATTGATGTGAGCCGCCCCGAGGCTTTGGCGAATGGGGCGGCATAGAAGCTTCCTAAATAAATAAATAACTGGCCTGCAAGTGCCCCTGGGCTTCTGGAACCCTCTGTGATGGTTGGGAAGGCTGCGTGCAGCCCCAGCTGGCCCCAGTCCATCGACTGCTACAGCACATTGCGTACTGCTCCAGATTGGGGACTAGGTCACATTATCCTAACAAGTCCCGTTTCACCCCATTGCCACCCGGTAGTGGTTTGCTGTTAAATTTTGGTAGGTAGCCACCCATTCTTTTGCTGTCTTCATGAAGCCGGTAGCTGCGGTAGTCCAAGGTATATGAAAATGGTCCCCAGCTCTCCAAAGTTGTCTACTCCTGCTCTATTCAATAGTATTTCTTTCTGGAATTAGATGCTAAGTTTGACAGTTCGCCACCATTCAGCAGGAGGCTGAACAGCTGCCTTCAAAGAAATCTGTTTCTTCATTGGCTTCTGAGTATCTTAACTCACTGATGGGAAGTACTGTGTATACATGTGTACTGTGTATACACGGAAGTATAAAAGCTTAGGGTCACTCAAGCCCCATGTTGCCAGAGACTGAGGACAGGGGGAAAATAACACTAGCACTAAATACAGTTCCTGATGATTTTGAAAGAGCATTCAGTCTCTGGCTGTATTATTTATTAATTCTTTGGAAGCTTTCTTTCCTTCTTTCAGCAAATGCCTTTGTTTAATGATTGACTTCCTTTCATGAAGGTGGCAGCAGTGATGTGAGGGTTGTCCTTGTGTCCCTGCCCCTCCCCGACAGATCTGGCTCCCGAGAATCCTACATGCCCTTCTGGCAGCACTTGTGGACGTGAAGCTGTACTCCCTGGTGAAGCGGCTGGATGGTGCTGAGACAGCCAAGTGGGTGGTGAGTTCCTGCCTGCCTTCCTCTCTCTAGGGTGCCCTCTTGGACCAGCAACAGGGCCCACAGCCTGGCCAGCTGACACAAGTGAGGAAAGTGAGGCCCGCCTGGCACCGTTGTTATTTGCTTTTTGGCGCCAGGCTAAGACCTTTTTATTTAAAACTTATTTTAATTGTTAATTTATTTATTTAACTAGGGTTTTTTTGTTTTTTGTTTTTTTAGCCGAGAATGCACTGAGGTTTTATTGAGGTTTTATGGTACTGGGGGGTTTATTGTATTGGGGTTTTAATGTATGGTTGACTTTTTTGATGTTGTGATGCTGCTCCGAGGCTTATTGCGATGGGGCGGCATAGAAATGTTTTAAATAAATAAATAAATAAGTGCTGCCGGCTGGAAGGTGCTGAGCTCTGCTTGAGCGTCTTGTGAATTCTGCAGGAAATTTTCTGTTGCTGTGGCCCTCCCTGACCCACATCTTCTGTTCTTCCAAATTGTTTTCAGTACTTCTGCCAGATGACTTCTTGGTTCACATGGTACTGCTGCACCAGGACTCTAACCAACACCATGGAAACAGTCCTCACCACCCTGGCTCTTTATTACTACCCCTTGGAAGGCAAGAAGATGGGGAGCAGGTGAGACGTCTTCTGTCAAGGTTGTGGAGGAATTCCCTTACTCGTCCTGGGAACCATTCCAAGCGTCACCCTGGGGAAGTGGCCTCTGCTCCCATGCCATTTCCACTCAGACAATGCCAGGCTTCTGTCTCCGGCCCCCAACAAAGTGCTTCTCCATTCCCAAGTGTGCTACTGCATTTTTCATCATAGCGCCTTCCCCTCCTGCAGCCGGGCCTCTTGCAGCAGCCACGCGCTCGGAGTACCTTATGAAATCATTCTGGAAGGGCCGTTGCTTTTGGCTTGGGCAAGGCCTGGGCATGTGTGCTCAGACGGTGCGCAGGCAGGAAATGGGGGAGGCCCGTTTGTGCTTCTGGGCAGGCAAGGCTGAGGCTGTCATGCAGCTCCAGACACAGTGGCCTCAGCAGAGCAGTTGCAGGCCTTGGAGCAACACTTAATTCTGCCACCTCATCGCTGAAGCAGGCAGGTGCAAAAGCCACTCTGTCCGCCTCTCCTTCTTGCTTAAAACATTTCCCGGGTTCAAGGCAGCGGCCCTGCACACGCTCGCCTGGGGTTCTCCCGAGGAAGCCTGTGCAGAGCTGAGCTGCCAGGCCACAAGAACACAGACCCTGGAAGTGTGCCGGCACTGTCCTACTGGCCTTGTGAATGCTGCCCCAACTCACTGGTCCTCACCGTTTTACTTCCCCTGTAGCCTCCCCCACTTGGCCCTCGTGGCTCTCGCACTGACGATCCGCCCGACAGCAGCCGTCCCGTGGGCCCCACTGCTACTCTGGCACTTTTGGAAGGCGCACAGGAAGTGGGATCTTGTCCTTTACAGCTACATCCCAGTGGGGTGAGTGTCTCTTGCCTGCAGTCAGGGAAACCAGTCAAATAAAGACGTTAATTCTGGCTTTCCATCAAATGGAACTCAGGGCAGCTGACAGCTTAATACAGTATAATAAAAATAACATCTAAAAAGCAACGCTAAGATACCAGATAGTTTTAGAAAAGCAGTACCAGTAACAAAACAAGCAGGGTACCTGTCAGGTCAGTCCACCTGAGCAGGTAACAGTGGGCTGCCAGACAATCAGTGGTAACTGCACAGACCGGCAGCAGAAAGGGCTGGGCAGCATGCAGCAAATCGAGGGCTGGCTGGAGCAGGGTGGCAGCTTCTGCATGCCCTTCATGGGGGTGGGGGGCCCCCTGGGAAGGGCACCTGAGCTTGGCTGGGAGGGGAGGCGGTGGTGGTGGGTGCAGGGGGACCCCATCTCTCTAGCTGCCATCGGTGTCTTCCTTTTGTTCACAGACTGATCGCCCTGGGTGGCTCTTTACTAGTCGACCGAATCTTTTTTGGCAAGGCAAGTCGACCGTGGCTCAGAACTCCCAGCCTGCCACTTAGCCAAGGAGCTGCAGTGGTTCCCCCGCCACCCCTTCCTTGCTTGACAGCCGCTGTTGCCTGTTTTCCTATGCCTGCAGTGGGTCGCAGTGCAGCTGAACTTCCTGAAGTTTAATGCGCTGCAGAACGTGGCCTCCTTTTACGGGACCCACCCTTGGCACTGGTACGTGACGCAGGGCCTGCCGGTGGTCATCGGCCCTCATCTCCCCTTCTTCGTCCATGGCTGCTTCCGGGCCCCGAAGAGGCATCGCCTGTTCCTCGCTGTGGTGCTTTGGACAGTTGCTGTCTACAGGTATGCTTCCTTCTACCTTGACCTGTGCTGGCTGACTACTGAATTGGGGGCACCACCGTTTTGCGAGGTGCTTTGCAATGCAAATCAATGGGTGACAAATCTAGTAAAAGGTAACAAAAGGAAAAAGATGGGAAAGAAAAAATACGCCAATTCAGGCACCAGTTCTCCTGAACATGCTTGGTGGTGATCATGACCATGTGAAGTGACTGCTGGGCTTTGCTGAAGTGGGGAGATGTTGCCAAGATGCCTCACGTTCTTCTCACTTTATTGCAGTACACTGAGCCACAAAGAATTCAGATTTGTGTATCCTGTGTTGCCCCTGTGCATGACATTTTGTGGTAAGCCCGTCAGCTTGAAATCCTTGGTGGCACTTTTATGGAAGCAGGTGGTCCTTTCAGGGCTTCTCCATTCACTAAACGTGAGGGAAAAGCTGAGTGGTGTTGGCCTGGTCCACCCGTCAGTTCAACAGCCCAAGTGTGGTCCCTGCCCAACGCTGCCTGCTGTTTGCGCTGTCACTTGGCAAACCAGGACTGGCCTCTTGCAAAGCATGACATGTGACTTCCGGGCCGGGGGCGAAAGAGTGGCTCACTGCTTGGCTAACCCTCAGCACCCAGCAGCCCAGGCTTGTGTATCACATGCAGTGGCCTGGAAAATGCCTGCTGTGCCCCGTAGCTTCTTTTGAGAAGTCCTCAAATGCTACTTGAAAAAGTGCATCCGCAAAAAGTTGCAGCTCCTGCTGGGTTTTGATATTTTTTTTTTTCTGGGAAAGGTCGCTCTCAATTCTAAAAATATGGTGCAGTGCTTTGAAACTCGGAACGACCATCTTGCAAGCATTAATGTGGGGACAGAAATCGGGCCAGTCCAAGGACTGCCATGGCAGGCGCCGCAGCGTGGAAGGCCAGTGCAGGGCCGGCTTCACGGCAGAGCACCGTGAGAGACTTGCACGACGCCATCCATAACAAGCATTGGTCCACCTAGACTGGGGAAGTGTAAAGCAGGGGTGGTTTTGGCTGCCAGCGATTCCGAGAACTGGCTATTTGCTTTTCAGCCGAGAGGCCCCGATACCACTGCTTGCAGTGGGAATGTTCCACATGGTTAGTAGCGGTTTAAAGCACGTGGGGGAACTCGTGTCCTTTCAGTTGTGCTTGGGACTGCAATTCCCACACTCCCCAGCCAGCACAGCCAGTGGTGAGATGGACGGTAGGAACTGCCGCCCGTGAACACCCAGTCTGAACAAAGAACAGCAAATTGTTCAGTAGTACATCATTTAACGTCCTTTGACAAATAAAGACATCTTTGACTGGTGGGGAAAGGGAGGGATAGGCAGGCCCAAAGGAAGGCAGGGCAGGGGGTATTCCCAGAGAGCCAAGAGGTGCTGGCAAGTCTGGGCATGCATGCGCAGGCAGTGGAAGAGGGGGGCCGCACGCTGAAGGAATGGCTGGTTGAGCTGAGGAGGGCCCCTCCCCCCAATTTCTGCTCTGTTAAGTTGGTGCTTCCTCGTTTATCTTCCCCACCCTTTGCCCCAGTCTCTTAATGGCATCTTCCTGAGGCACAGCAAACGGGGGGAAGACCTAGGCCGTGTCGGGCGGGGGGGTGCTGGATGCCGCACCCTCTTGGAACTGCTTGAGACTGGGGGAGAGCCATGGCTTTGCAGCCCTAGAAATACCTGTCAAGGTCTCGGTTGCTCTCCCCATATGGCCACACCCTAATAGCGTGGAGCAAGCATGTGCCGCCATGGCTTGTGGGAGAGAGCTTCCCAAATATACTTAACAGGGTTGCCCCCGCAGGGCATTCCCTGAGCCAGCTGAGGCGGTGGAGGAAGGCGGCTGTCTCGTTCCTGGTGATCTCCAACTCGCTGCTTGCACTCTACACGGGTTTGGTCCACCAGCGTGGAGCCCTCGATGTCATGGGCTACCTGCAAGGGCTCTGCAGCTCCTCCGTCCCGGAAGAGACATCCGTCCTTATGCTGATGCCGTGCCATTCAACTCCTCATTACAGGTCAGAGGACGGGAGGCCAGTGGGTCTTCAGCTGTGCAGCTGCGTCTCTTTGGAGAAAGCTCCACTGAATGCAGCAGCACTCCTGAGCAGACAAGCAGAGGATTGTACGGTGCTTGCCCTGCTTGGAAGCGAGCTGCTTCGGAATCATCGTGGGTGACAAATTAGCATACTGGGAGTGTTCACATTCCTACTGCCGCTCTTCTGGCGTTATGTCATGGCTTGTTGCCTGCCACCAGGCGGCCCCGTCCCTTGCACGCAGTCACACTGACGGTGTCTCCAGTGTGTCCTGGAAAGACCAGCCATTTCCACCTGCCATTCTCTCTCCTAAGCACAGGGGTCTCGCTGCCTTCTGCCTTAAGGCACCAGCTTCGTCCCGAACTGCCATCCATCCTGCGCTTCTAGCAGTGAGCTGAAGTCCCTGCCAAGCCCTCCCCCCACCCCACAGGTGGAGTTACGTTGGTCCAGAGCCCCCCAAGCACAGCAATGAATGCCCACCTCCCCTGTGATTCTCATTCAACAGGTGCGGAAAGCACCGCCAAGATTTGCTTGCCTAATTCTAGCTGCCATTGTCAGCATCTGAATGCATCCCCTTCCTCTCCTAGCCACGTTCATTGCCGGCTGCAGCTGAGGTTCCTTCAGTGCCCTCCAGATTTGATGGGAAGGACGAATTACCTTGATGAAGCAGACTTGTTTTACTCCAGCCCCCTTCAGTGGCTCCAAGAAGAGTTTTCTAACACAACGCTGTTGCCTTCACACTTGGTCTTATTCAGCACTCTCAAGCAGGTAAGCAGAGGGCAACACTTCCCCGTCCTGTGGCTTGTGGCAGAATTAAACACCTTGAGGGTTCAGTTATAGCCACCTCGACCAGCAGAACAAGCTCCTTTGTGGGTGTCCTGGAAAGCCCCCTTCCGTTAGAGCCACTTGCACCACCAGCGATAGCATCTTGTCTGCCGAGAGAGGCCTCCCCATCTCTGCATAGGCTCAGAAAGGGAATGCAAAAGGCCTCAAGCCTGTGTACACAAGGGCAAGACCCACATGGCCATTGGCAGCGACTGGCAGGTGCTCTGCTCCCCTGTGAATGTGTTTCAGGTCACCTGGATACTGGCCCATTGTAGCAGAGTCCCAGCCATGGAAGTCTGTGCGGCCAGCAGAAGCACTTCCTCCTGCCCGCCGTTCTTTGACATGCTGCTGGTGCTCTGTCCGTCTTGTGACATTGTCACTGCAGCAACAGCCTGGGGCCTTCAGCACAGGCCTGAGCATAAGCAGTGCTGCCAAGAAGCTTAATCCTATAATAAAATAACCCAGCGAAGAGGCCGCACTTAAGGAGAACAGTTCTTTTCTTATTAGCAGGCAGAAAGTCATTCCCCAACAAATCAAGGGTGGAAATAAAAGAGAAATAGCAGTATTAAAATCTGCAAGTGGTCTTTAGAGAACCCTGCTATCTACTGAACAAATCCCTGGTATTTTATGGGGCTCAGGCAGACAACTTGTTCTCCCTATCCCCAATTCTCTTGGCACAGGGTGTTGACAACTGCTGACTCTTTGGGGGGTTTAAGAGCCTTTTGTTTACTTTCAACCAGCTGGCTTATTGGATAGTAAAACTTCCCACAGGATATACACAACATCTATAAGAGCTGCGGGGACGGCAGGTGGCACAGTGGTTTAAACCGCTGTGCTGCTGGGCTGGTAGATCAAAAGGTCGCCGGTTCGAATCTGCACAACCGGGTGAGCTCCCATTGCTCCGTCCCAGCTCCTGCCAACCTTGCAGCTCGAAAGCATGCAAATGCAAGTAGATAAAAAGGTACCACTTCGGTGGGCAGGGAACAGCGTTCCGTGCGCCTCGGTGTTTAGGCATGCCGGCCACATGACCACGGAGACTGTCTGCGGACAATCGCTGGCTCCCTCGGCTAGGAAACGAAGATGAGCACCGCCCCCTAGAGTCAGGCATGACGGGACTTAATGTCAAGGGGAAACCTTTATAAGAGCTGCACTTTTTAACTTCTAGGATATATCATCATTTCTGTCTTCAAATGGTTATGAAAAAGCCGCCACCTTCTTCCATACCCATCTGCCTCAAGGACGAACTGGAAGCTATATTTTTGTCTACAAAAGGAATCAAATGCCTTTTGAAAACAGAGGCAGTTAACTATGGCGGCTGAACGTGTTTAGAGACCAGCATGTGTGGCTCATGAGACACAAGGGGAGGGAGTGAAACGCTGACCTTGTTTGCTCGGAGGCAATCTAGCCGAACTTCATGCGACTTGCACTGCAACCTGGAGAACACGGCAGCTGGCTGTACGGACGCACCCACCGGGACAAGGACGCACCCACCATGGCGACGGATGCCTTCTGTGACCCCCTTGCTGAAGGTTCGGCTTCCTGAGCCCAAGTATGCACAGCTGTGCAGACCTTTCATAAATAAAGCATTTTTCCAACCAGGTTTTTATTTCTCTTCTACAATTTGCAGGGGGCAAGACAATTCGAATGCAAGTTAGGACGCCAATCGGAAAGCAGCAGACACAGCACACCAGCAGGTTCCGCCCTGGCACTAACACGAGAATAAATCAATTTACCGAACAGACACATTTCTGAGCCACTTGAGATGAAATTAGCACATGATACGACAGACAAGCCTGCACTGTAACACCAACAAGCACAAAGCAGCTTACCTTACACACACACACAAGCTACTGCTTATCCCGCTTCTTTATTGCAATAGTAGAACTGCACCCACAGTTGTTTCCTCTGAAGGCTGCAAGAAAAGACGCTGACTTAGAAGCCAGGTGGATCCTTTCTGGGGCGGGGTGGTGGAAAGGGGGAATCGTGCACTTGAAACTCTGAAGAGCCTGAGCCAGTTCAGCACCCGCTCTCTCGACCACGCTTTGGTGCATACCGAAGAACAACAGTAGTTTAGTATTTGGGATCAAAGGGCAGCTGGCCCACTTCTATCTCTAGATTTGCCATGTGTCTCCCATTGGGGCTCCCCTGTTTCTGCCATCTGCCTTCCCTCTTGTAGCGCTGTTGGTGCTTTGGAGCGTGTCTTTCCTGAGAAGGACTCTGTGTATGTGTGAATGGAGCCCTCTTTCTGGGATGGCTGAAAGGGAAGGACAGGAGAGCAGTCAGTATGCTTCAAACGCTACCACATCTGAGCCTCCACACTGGGTGCTCGCCCCGCTGGAGGGAGCTGCCCCCTCTCCCCCGAAACTAGAACTGCCCAGGCAGATGAAACCAGGCAGCTGACAGGCTTCATGGGAGGCCTGGGAGCATGATGACATGCGGAGTCCAGGCTCTCCTCACCAGCCACAGGGCATTGCTTCAGAGACCAAGCATCCTCCCAGTCCCAGAGGGCACCATCCCCATAGAAGAGGTAGAGCAGTGAGGTTCCTGGAAGACAGAGCACCCAACTTCAAGGAAGAACCCAGAAGTAAGAAGAAGCAAGCACAGCAGAGGAGCTGCAGGTGGAACATGGGCAGCTACAGCCTCCCTACTTGTGCGAAAGGATCACGATTAACTCGGGGAAGGGCATCAAGTTTGGCATGTAAAGGGGAACTCCGTGCTGCAGCCCTTAATGTGCAAAAATCAGCAACACGTCTGGTGGAACCTACGCCCTTACCCCGAGAGTGCTGCCATCACCACTATTTGGGCGAGCAGCCACGGTACAGACCAGCGGTGCCCCCAAAGGGCCAAGGTCTCCTTGGCAGCCGCCTCTTGGGAGTCTACAGGCTCAGGCACAGTTATCGGCAGCATGTGGCACTGACCTGGGTGCGTGTTGAGGCGAGGGGTCATAGTGGAAGTAGTATCTGTAGATGTATTTATCCAGGTCGTCAAAAACACCGTCACTGCCCCTTTGGTACTCTTTCAGGTCTTCAAGATAGTCCTTAACGTCATTCACAAAGTCTGTGAAGAGCATTTGGTCATGTATGAAGACCCCGTTGTGGAAAAACCTCTCAACAAAATCCTCCAGTTCTCTCCAGTGATGGAAGTTGCCCACTTCTTGCTGTAGATACTTGTGCATCAACTGATTGAATTCATCTGCTCGAATAGGGTCCATCACTTTATTGAAGAGGCTCACAAACTCCTGATGGGCACAGTCAAAAATATCTGTGCATCCCTTGAGAACAGTGTGGCGCTTCTTGTTGCACATGGGGCCTCTGGGGACTTCCAGTGTGGGGGGATCCTTGGGAAGATGCAGGACGTGGGGACGCTCTCTGGATCGTTTCCCATCCCTGAAGTCTCTCTGGCTGCCTGGGGCCTTGCTGCGCAGCCCTTCGTGGGAACCGTCTGCCTGATAAACCACCTTTCCTTTTCTGTTAGCCTCCTGCCTTCTGTCCCCATGTTTCTTCTTCTCTTCTCTTTCAAAGATATTCTTGGTTGTGTCCTTGAAGTGTCTGAAGGTGGATTTTACAGAATCTGAGAATTTTCTTAAGTTCTCTTTCACAGCTTCTTTGGCCTGCTTAATTTTCTCCTTATGGTGTCTTACAAATTCCTTTGTAGAATTCTTCATGGCATCCAATGTTTCTTTAACAGAGCCCAAAAATGTAGCTTTCTGCTTCCTTTTGGCTTTGTTTGCTCCTTTCCCAGTTGGTGCCTGTGATTTTTTCACTTGTTCTTGCTTTTCTGCATTGTCTTTGACTTCCACATACAGCTTTTCCCACAAATCAGAGCGCTGCTGTTCGAAACTGAGCTTCTTTTCCAGCTCTGCCAGCCTTCCCTGTAAGGCTTCTATTTCTTGGCTCTCCTGCAAGCCATCCCCAGCACCTGCACCAGGAGTCACCTGCTGGGCACTTAACTTCTCCAGTTCTTCCCTGAGAGACACCGTCAGGTGGCGCTCTTTGTCCAGTTCCCTTCGCAGCATCTGTGCCTCCAGCAACCAAGTCTCCTTTTGTTTCATAAAATGCTGCATTCTGTGCTTTTCTTCTTCCAAATGGGCTCTTAGTTTCTGATTTTCAGTGGCAACCGGTGACTCCTGGCTGGGACCTGCGTTCTCCAGGTGTCTTATTTGTTCTCTCAGCTTCCGCAGTTCTTCTTGCAGCAATGCCAAGGCGCTTTCCTCTCTCTCTAACGACGCTCTTAAGCGCTGGTTCTCTGAGCTGAGGAGATGCTTCTGAGATTCACAGGATCTCTTTTCCAGCTCTGTGTTAAGCAGGCACGCTGCCAGACCTTCCTTGAGAGACTGTTTGGGGAGCAAAAACACATGAGTAGAAAGAAGAAATACTCCTGTATTGTGAATGGGGGTAGTGGAGGCACAGGGAAATCACAGCAGATGCCACAAGCTGAGTCAGTGTGATGAGCAGGCCACGCCAGCAGCACTTGAAGCACAGCGCTCGCCCAGGGCAGGGAAGGAGAGGAGAAGGCAGCCCGGGGTGCGCCTTCAAGTGCTGGTGCTGCACAGGAGGGGCGTGGCCAGCAGCGGCTTCCATCCACTGCGAGGGACGACTGGATGGCACGGGCTCTCCATGGCCCACATGCGCATACCGACCTCGGGAGCCCACACAAAGCGCCCGAGGCTACGGGCGCAGAAGCCTGTGCTCCACTGGGACAGCAGTGGCACCTGGCTTTGTCGAGGCGACATGCCCCAAGTCGAGGCAGCAGCCGTAACTGCCCTCTCAGAGCCCCTGTGGGGGTGGGTGCTCCCAAGTGGAAAACCCTGAGGATGCACAAGCGGCACTGACCCAAGCCTTTGTTGTGCGGTTTCCACTGGGAGCACAGACGCTGCTGCGCTTTCTCCGAGCGCCAAGCGCTGCGGTGAGCAAACGTGCCACCCTCGAGGGGAAGCGCACAGCACGGCCTCCGCGCCTCGCCTGGAGGCGGCCTGCACGCACTTGGCTCTCTCTGGTAACCAGAGAAGAGGCTCACCAGGGCGCAGGCAGGGGGCGGCAGTCCTGGCATTTGCGCTGAACTGCCTTCTGGGCACCGGAAAGCCCTTACCTGACCGACCGCCATAACGCCCTGTTCCCGTTGGCACTGAATCAGATGATCCCTCACGTCAGTCAGCTCGTCTTCATGAGTCTTCTCGACAAGTTGCTGGCGTTTCTGGATCTGAACAGTACCTTGAAATAGAAAATTCTCTCTCTTAATTGACAGAAAAACTGGAAATTGGGCAGGTTGTGTAGGCAGTGGCTCTTTTGTCTTTAGGGGAGCACTGTGCATTTGTGGAGATGGAAACGATTCAACTTTTACTTGTTTGGAACACCTCAACTGAGGTTTAAACTTTTGCCTGTAAAAAAATAAAAGCCCTATCAAAGAATGAATATTGCACAGAGAGGATCAAGCTAAATAGCCAAGACTTCTGATGCACCCCTAAAGGAGCAGGTTGCTTGAGATGAGAGTGCACACGAACACAGGGGGCAACCTGGCACACAGTTGCAAACTCCTTTGTAGTTGCAAAGCTGCACAATCCAAGAGACACATCCAGGGTAGGCTCTCCTGACACCTCCGTTGCTCTAGTCCAAAACTTAGAGCCTTCTTTTTGAAAAAAATAGTATGTGAATGAAGCCTCTGGGATCAGAAGACAAGGTGTAAACTTTGGCACCTTGTAGTTTCAGTTAAGAACACATGCACCCTGCATCGTTGCTTTCCCTTCGCAAATGTCAGCTCTTAATCTTTCTCCCGGACAACCACCGGCAGCAAGGCCAGGACAAATCCCACGCCAGCTCAGGATGCGTCAGGACAGCCATTCGGTCCTGGCTGCAAAATGCGAGTGTTGCGTCAGAACCGCCTGCAAACAGGAGGGGCCTTTTGCCAAGGCAGAAGCCCTCTGGCACCAGCCGGCTGTCCCAGGGAAAGCTGCGTTCAGGCACTGCTTTGCCCGCAGTCCAAGGGCATGCACGGGGCAGCAAGCTTCACACACAGACAGGCAACTGCAAACTCACAGCAACGCATTCCAACAAAGCCTCCTACCTTCCAACTTTCCTGAGGAAGAAATCAGGGATAAGGCGTAAGTTTTGATCAAATTCAACATACTAAAACATCGGTAACTTCAAACCAGAATTGTCATTAGATTCTAATTTCTTTTGTACAGACCCATTAAAAATCTGGCCTTAGGAAAACAGGATTTCACCCACGAAAGGAACTCTGCACAGCAACCTATTTTGCGAGGTGTGCGGGGTGGTTGCTGCACAATGGACGGTTCGGATACGGAGGCAAGCTGCAGTGGCAGCAGCTGCTTTTGCGGCTCGTTGTTCAGCTCCGTGTACAAACGCGGCTCTGGAGTGCAAGGAGGTGCCTGTGGGATGCCGGGACCACCCAGGAGCCTCAGTGAGCACCTGCCACCTACTCGGAGCAGGGGGAGGTCTGCTCCCCACCCTGCCTCCACCCTGCAGCAAACAGTATGGCTGAGGGTGAGGCGTCTGCTTCCACCAGAACCCCGCATTTCTGTCTACTGGCCTGCAGTGGCAAGCAGCACCTCTCTCCCACCTGCCTCACCTGAATCTGCTTCTCCTTGAGACATTCAGGATGGTGTACACACATGGAGGTTAACCCAGGTACACCACCCTGAATCCTGCGAGGGAGGAGAGGTCCAAATGCTGCTGGCTGACACCTGTCACCCTTCATAGCCCAGGCAGGGTTCTGATGCAGAGGTGTGGATGCTCATTAGCGCAAACCAGGCCATACACGGGTGAAGCCACCCCACCTGGTGTCCCTTCCACACGAGCAGAAAGGGATTCCCTCCACGGGGGTCCAACCTGCTCTTCATAGCTCCCAGCAACGGTACAATTCCTAGTGCTTGAGTACAGTAGCAGCTCCACTGCTCCCAGGCTAAAAGCTGGCAGCAATTTTAGGTGGAGCCCAGCCAGTCATGTCCTAGAATGCGCCTCTTGCAGTCTGGCTGGCAGCCATCCCCCCAAAGGACCACCTAGGAAGGAGTGCCAGAGCCCCAACAACCAGCAGAAGAGCACCCGGGGACTGAAAATGTGGCTCAGTTTTCATGTGTGAACACTTTTAAGGGGACACCTGGAGGAAAGGTGAGCGTTTGCTGCGGTACTAAAAGGAACGGTCCCATTTCAGAGAGTAGATGCAGCGACAGCCTATAGAAAGCGCCCTGAGCCACTCACCATAAAAATGCCCAAAGCCCATGCTGATCGCGATCACCAAAGCCAGGGTGATGCATCTATTCAGGCCGCCGCTGAAGTGATGCTTGCGCCACTGATCTTGGGCCGGCTCGGGTTCTTGCTCACGAGGCGGTGCCTCCTCTGACTCGGAACTTGAGATAAGCCTCTTCTTCGCACGCCGGCGCCGCAGGGCAGGACTGGAGCGGTGGCTGGTTTCATCGCTGCTCGATTCTTCGCCACTTGGGCAAGGAGGTGGAAAGGCTAGAAAGCAGCCACACAAGCCCTTGCCATGAACAGAGGGCAGATGGAGCAAAGGAGGTTTCATTTTTCCCACTCACCCCCTCTTAGAGGGCAGTTGAGGGTCTTCTACAGCAGAAGAAAATTCTACATGCATGAGGTTTTAAAGGCTACCTAAGAAAAGCTGGTTTTCCGGGTTGCTAAGGCTACAAGCTCTATGAATCCAGGCACCGGGGGAATCCCTCTTCTCCTTCAGTGAACCAAAATGAGGAGCTGCAACCTTGCTTCGGGTTTGCCTTCCCTTCTGCCTGCAGCGCAGGGTTTGGCTCTGTCGCTCAAGTAGTGTAACGCAGGCCGCTCAGCACTCCCTCGCTGTGATACTCTGCCTATCGTCCTGGATTGTGTGCGAGCAGGACGAGCAATCAAGCAGGTACGTTCAACATCCACTGCCACAGTGCATTCAGTGTTAGCGCATGCCAACACCCAGTCGTATCTGGACAATGGCTGTGACTTCAGATATGTGACATGCCAGTTAAAATCTGCTTGGCTGCATGTTAAGACCAGCTGGTCTGTCAGAAAGAAAAGTCAGCCAGTCCTGTGGCTGGATAGAGTTGCTACTGCTACTGGGTGTGGTGGAGAGAAAGGCAAGGGGAACCGTTCCATCTGCTGATCCACGAAGGAAGGAAAGGAAGAGGAAGGAAAAAGCGTCCCGTTTTCTTATGCTAGTCGCTAAAAATGGCCAGTAAGAGGCTGCCCATCCTAACAGCCCTTTGGAAAAGCTGGCTTGAGGGCACCAGAACCTCTCCAGGTTCTTTCCGCACCAGGTGGCCAGAGCGCAGCGCACCCCTCCTTCCAAAATGCCTTCCAGGCCGCCATCTGCTGGCACCTTAGCAAAAGCTGAGAAGGAGCACTGTGGGGGCCCCGCCATGTACAGCACCTGCAGCGCCCTGCAAAGGGGGCTGGCCATACAGCGAGTGGCGGGAGCTGAGCATGTTTTCTACATCATTCATGCCTCACATGGGGTCTGCCTGTTTCACAGCAGCTGTGCACTGGGCTGACAGTTTCATTGAGCTGTCTGCTGCCCCAAGATCCCTTTCCTGCTCTGTCCCTGCTAGCTCAGATCCCAGCAGCCCATACTTGAAGTTGTGTGTGTGTGTGTGGGGGGGGGGTTGCCCCAACGTTATACTTGCTTATATTAAACTGCATTTGCCATTTCGTCTATGGAACTACAACCTGCTGCCAAAATATGGTTATGCCTACTTTGCAAGGGAAGCACTGGGTGATTTCCTTAAAATAACTGAATAACTTCCAGTCCAAACAAACTCTTCACACCGAAATCAACATTTTGTGTCTCGTTAAAAAAGTGTCAGTTGCAAGTCCAAGTAAAGCTTCTCTCCCAGAGGGCCCCATCCACGTGTCCTATTGAAGAGTTCTACTAAGTTCGTGCGATGGAACTTACCTTTGCGGAAGCCATGTTGACTCTCTCTCAGCAGGGCCGGTCCCCCTGTGTGCGTCCTGATTTTACCGTTAATCACGCTTTCAGCCAGTTTCCCAGAACTGACACTGAGCTATCCAGCCTGCAATCCCCCGGATCCCTTTTTAAAAGCTGGCGTTGCCTTGGCCATTCTCCAGTCCTCTTGTAGAGGCTGGTCCTGGGGACGTGGCACGTCTTCCGTGAGAAGGCCGGCAATTTCACGTTTGAGCTCTGTCACCCCAAACGCGTTTCTTCAGTACCGCATGCACATTAAATGAAGGTAAAGGCAGGCTTCGCACTCCACATTCAAGCGCTAATAACTGGGCCACACGGCACACAAGCGGGAAAAACAGCCAGTCAGAGACAAAAGGAGCTGTGCTGGCAGTCCACCATGCCGGGTTTAGAACAGCACTCCGTTACGCTCCACAAAGACAACTCACGATCGCTACGGTTTATTTCGCCGGCAGGGCAACTTTCCTTTCGGAACGAGCATTATGCGCCCGTCCCCAGAGATGCCTCTTCCTCAGCACCCGCTGCAGGTTGCACCTCAGGTGGCCTCCTCCTTCCAGAACCCTGCGCAAGCACTTGCAAGTGCCCCCACCGCAGTGCCCACCACACCGCAAGCCACAGCTCCCGCCAGACACAAGCCAGCTGGGTCCGGCCACGCCAGCCCACGGAGGGGCGCAGCCCGCACCTGCACTCCCTCTCGCTTACCCCATCTGCTTATGCCCTGTGGGATCCTCCACAGCTCCTCCAGCCACGTGTTGGCTTTTGCACATAGAACACAAGGAAGAGATGTTGACCGTGAGGAAACGGCAGCTAAACACCCCGCCACAATTCGGAGAGTAGGGTGTGTGCGTGCGCATGCAGGCAGTGCATTACACTTGACCACTGCTACTAAATTTGAAGCTGGGATTTCTTCGGACATTGGGGGCTTCCCTTCTGGACCCTGTCAGAATGACTTTCTGAAGCTCCTGGCCTACGAGAGTAGCTGTCAATGGCAGTGGCCCCACATCCCTGTCTCTTTCAATCTCACCGCGCATCATGGGAAAGAGCGGAAGAATCGGACCAACGACATCTTTCCATATGCACAGCTTCATTCCAGTTGGTTCTGCCCCTGTTCAGACCTTTGTCTCCTTTCTTAGAGTAGATTTTAAGCAGGAGACATGCAGAATAGCCCGAGATCAGAAGTTATGCTCTGCTAAAGACAGACTTGAAGTGTCCTTCTTTTGCCTCTAGGTAGTACACCATCCTCAGGGAGGCAAAACGTTTCTGCTGTTTCCACTACAGCATCACCTCAATCATAGTCCTAGGAAACTGAGCATCTTTTGGAACCAGTCCACCTTAATCAACAAGTGAAATTCAGGCAAGGTCATTCTTCCATCAAACTTTGTTTTATAACAAGCAATTTCTAATGTACATGGCTTAGAAATGAATGGTAGGCTATGTACAGGAGTTACAGGCCAGAAAGCAAACTGGAAGTCACACAACATAGGAATCTGGGCCCAGGCTGAACAGGTTGAATATTAACTTCCAGCCACTCTTCCCCAAAACAGAAGAATACTCATTCTCAGGTAAAGGGGAAAATAGCCAAGAGTCCAAATTATTCTAACCCTTTCCCCATTAACAGAGAGGGCAAACAAGACTCTGTTTTGCATCCGAGTTATGCCACTGGTGCTGTTGTGCAAGAGGAAGTTTACCCTGAGGTAAATTCTTGCTGCTTCCTGTCACTGCTGCTGTTATGTGCAGGAAAGAGACCGATCTGAGAGACTGGACTGCTGCTCCAGGGGCAACTTCAGCAAATACTCCAGCTCTGTACAAATTTGGGCTGGGAGCTCCTGCCAAAGGAAGGATTCTGGAGGGGACCCAAGAGACAATTAGCTCTTCTTAACTGGCCCTCTGGCTTTCAGCTGCTGGAAAGTGGCATACAACCCCCCTGTCCTACAGAAGACTAATCCAATGATGCACAGAGCCACAAGAATCAGATGCTTGATCAACTGGCAGTTTTTTCAGCTACTTCAAATGCAAGGAAGTGGACCCAAGCAACGTGCAGGATCACATCTTGCGGATGAAATCATGGCTGCCCGAGCAAACACCAGCTCTCCTGGAGCTCAGCAGGGAGCTGAAAATGGCTTCATGCCGTTCACCTGCACAGCACAAGGAAGAAGAACCAAGTCCTGGCAAAAGTCTGGGGACACTCGCACTCCACAAGTGCAGGACATGTGACATGGCGAAGTTTGCCTGTGGACTCTCCCTGGCCACCAAACAATGGAAGAGCTCCACGTACCTGTTTCTGGCTGACAAAAGGTGTAGCGGCTGCTCGTAGAAGAGCCCATGTTGAAATCTTCGGAGACCTGAGCCTCTTCGGCTGGAGGCACGGCCTCTTCCTGGCTCCCGACTTCTTCCACCCTTGGGGTCTCGAGTGTCACAATGTCAGAATCATCACTGATTGCCCCCACACAGGAACTGTCCTCTGGCAACCCTCCCTTCTTGTCCTTGTCCTTGGATAGAAGGTCAAAGGACAGAATTACACCAACAACAGTGTTTCACCTATAAACAGCTTGCAAAGCATGAAAGAAAAAAATGAATTTTTATATTCTGGGTGTGATGGTGGGGGGGGGTTCTGTGTGCAGAATCTAGGTTTTGCAGAAGTTTTTTTTAAAGAGGAAAACAGAAAACTGGCATTTCTTGTACATTTAAAGTAATGCACTGTATCATAAACATGAAGATCAACAACTTTACATATTTCCCCCTTTTCTCCCTTCCATCCTTCTAGCTCCACGTTTCTTCCAGTCATTGGAATGTCTGCCACATTCTCCCATGTTTCCTCTTAAGAGTCTGCCTGTGTGGGTGACGTGGCTGTACCACGGCCTGCCTTTCCTTTCTGCTTTTATAACATGTTGGCTAATGAAGAGAGCCTCCTTTTATTTAGATGAAATCCTGCTCCGATATTTTTGGACAACTCCTGCTCCTGTTTCCTGGCTGGCCACGGGGGTGACAGAATATGAGGCCAAGTGGGTCTCTAGCATGATGAAAAGCACATCTCCTGCTCCTTCAGAATTCTACCATGGGCTTCTAATCCACACACACCACTCAAGGCATCACAACAATGCAAGTCACAATATCCACAGAACATTATTACAATCATTTGAGCATCAGCCGGACAACATTGATGCCCACCCTCTAATTAGAGCGATACATCGCAGTGATTCAGAACTTAAAAGGCTGCACAACAGCCTGGCTTAAGAAAAGTTTGCCCCAGAAGATGAAAATTGGGGCTATTCCAGGCACTGTGATGTTACCACACCACCCTCCGGCTGCAAATGCACAAGCCACTTGGGTCCACCCAGTCTGACCTCATTCACACGGCCCTTTCAGAGAAGTGTCTCCTTGTGGTTTCTGCATAGTCTTGGCTCCCTTAACACCCTCCAGTTTGGTACTCTGACACTTCTGTGCTTCGTTGGATCACCACTCACCTCAGGTTTTGCAGTCTCTGGGACAGAATGACTTTCGACAACTGAGGACACATCACCTTGGCCAAAATCAGCTGCAATAATAAAAGTTGGAATATATAGAGGTGAAAGATTAAGCACTTAACTACTTCAGATGCCTGCTGCTTTGCATGTGTGCATGCGTGCACTCTCGTATCATAAAACCAATCCAGTTTCCCACAGTCAGTAATAAGCCGGGGGGAGGTGAGAGCAGGAACTACACTCACACGGTTAAAAAAGTAAGCAAGCTATACAAAGACACAGTTGTTGGAGGATGACTGCAGACCCTCCGCCAAGGAAGGCAGCTATCTCAAATGGACTAAAGCCCAGGAAAAGGCAGGCGCACACGCTTCTCAACAGAAATTCCTACTCAGTGTTTGGACAGACTGGCCAACCATTCTGCGGTGCGCTTTATAATGGTACAAAAGCCTGCGGTGTAATCCTGTAAGTTCTACTTGGAAGTAAGTCCCACTGTGCTCAATGTGGCTTACACCCAAGTAACTGAGTGCAGAACTGCAGACACAGGGATCAGCAAAGGCTGCCCTTGAAGCAGCTTTCCAGAGTCAGTCATGCTGGGAAGCTGCAGGACCTTTGCTGGACGTGGAGGATTGCTAGCAACTACCGTATGGTTACCCCCAGAAGCCCTCCTTTGGGTTCCTCTACCAAAGGAAGCAAAGCAGCTGGCTACAGGGAGGAGGGCCTCTTTCGTGGTGGCACTCCAACTGCAGAACGACCTCCTCGAAGAGGCTCGGTTCAACCACGAATAATGGCCCACTTGGGTGTGACATGCAAATAGGCTCTTAAATTAAGACTCCTGGGAAGGGTAAGAGACCAAGTCCCAGCCAAGCCACATCATTCCTTGGCCTTTTCTCAGCAGCCTTTGGATACCAAGTCCACACCGTAGTCAATGAGCTGCATTCTGGCTATTTCCAGTTTGCACATTACATATTCATCTTACTAAATATTTGGCTTATCACCAGTGGTCTAATTCTGCTGTTTCTAGAATACACTGAGCAGGACAGTAACAGGCAGACTGCAACTTAAGTAACAGAAATCATGCCTTACATCTGATTTAGACCAAGATACATAATCTGCAAGCCAAGTGAGTCAACAGGTTATGATACTTCTGTAGTCATGCCCTGTCCATTTCTAGACCGTATGTAGAAATGGGAAATGTACTGGCAGTCACTTGAAACCAGAAGCATTTGACTCACTACGACAGCCACAGACTCCATCTTAATCTCAGCTGGCCTTCTGCTACATGACAGATCCAGCTTGTTTAATCCCTTTCACTGTCCTGGCTGGGGAGGGTCTGCAAACCAAGCCCAGTGAGGAAGCATGAAAGAATCACAGAAGCATGGAAGAGTAGAGTTGCAAGGGGCCGTGAAGGCCGTCGGGTCCAACCCCCTGCTGCTGCAGAACACCAGGCTACTCCATCCCAGAGCTACAAATGTTTAGCCTGGAAGACATGATCGTGGGCGCCTAGGATCTTGAACAACTGTCCTGCAGAAGATGCAGCAGACTTGCTCACACGGCTGGAGGTTGCAGCGAAGCAGAGTTCAGCTGAACATTAAGAGAAGTCTCTTACAAGGGCAGGTTGCTTGGCAGTGTGACAGAGGGGAACACTGGAAACGGCCTTCTACGGGGTCAGGCCAACAGCCCTCCAGCCCTGTAGCGCGGGCAGCAGTGGCACTCCAGGCTTCAGGCAGACGGTGTTCTCAGCCTGGCCTGGAGATGCTGCTGCAGACTGAATGAGAGTCCAAATGTTCACCAGGCAAGGGCTCCCTTGCCATGCCAGGGCCATTCCGCCTCTGCCGGAGGTGCATTTGCACAAGTGAAGAGTCGGCAGGGCTGGGCCAGACACCCACCTCCCCTGCTCCATTCTGGCATGAGCACGAAGGGCACTGCCTTGTTCTAGGCCTTACTTTGCCAGGCGGCAGGCTGCTCCTGCTGGTCATCTTCCTGTGGGAGGGCTGCAGGCTCTGCCAAGGTCAGCTCTGCAGGGCCACTTGTGCCTTCAGGTTCGGATGCCACAGCCTCAGCGTCGGAGCCCTGGGGGGAAAAGAGGCCCTTCCAGTGAAACCCAAGCATTGGCTGGGATGGAACCTAAGCTGACTCATGGCAAGCAGCCTCCAGCCAGGATTTTCCATCGACTGCATGCTCAGGAAATACACAGTTCAAGATGCCTGCAAACAACACTGCGGCTGCCTCCCCGCCAAAGCACCTGGCCCAGCTTTGCCGCTCCCAGTCGGCCCTCATTCTGGCAGTGGGTGCAGAAGATGCCATGTCCCAGGTCCAGTGCAGCCCAGTCTGGTCTCTGCTGGCTGGCAGTAGCTCTCTGCAGGGTGGGGGGTTGTCTCTGGCAGGAAAAAGGTCTTTCTTTCGCTGCCCTGCCTAGAGAAGGCGAGGACCAAATGCAGACATGCTGTGTGAAGAGTGGGGGCTCCCTCCCCGCTGAACTGCAGCTCTTGCTGGGGTGCCGCCATGACTGAGCCAGCAGTCACTGTTCATGGTGAGTGTCAATGCGCTGCAGTCAATGTGCCATTTTGTTTCCTGCCCAGAATGTTGATTTATGCAGAGATATGAAGAACAAGAGGCATCATCCCATTATGCTCCATTCCTGCCTTTAATACAATCAGATTCACATGGATTCACAGAAAAGTGGTTGTTATCTGGAACTAGAACAGAACCTCACTAGCTTAAGTCCAGAGTTCTGGAAGGCAAGGAATGGCAGCCAGTTTTTCTCTACATCTAGGGCAGGTGAGCACCCACCTGCTGTCCTGCAAAGGTGGTGGAATCTAACTCCCATCAGCCTGAGCCAGCATGACCTGCTCAGAGATGACAAAGCCAGCAACCTCTGCAAGGCCACAGGATTGCCAGCCACGCTTTGAATCAGACAGGGACTTCCTTCATCCTCCTGTTTTGGCTCAGCACAGACAGAAGAACACAGGTGCAGGGACTACAGAGGTCTCTGACTTTCAGTCAGAGTTTTAAGCAGATCATCTGCAGGGGCCTTTGGAGGTATGCAAGGAATGATTTCAAGGTTCTTGGAAACCAGCAGGACACAGCTAACAAAATGTCTAGTTTGTCTGAAATCAAATTTTATTTCTGACTGTGCAATTAAGTTAATTTTGCAGCAACAGCTCTGAGGCTATAGAAGCGCCTGTACTTCCTGATCAGTTCTCTGCTCTGTCTAGTTAAGAGGACAGAGAGGGAGGAGGAGGAAAGAGGACTGGGGAGGCTTCTCCAGCTGGGCCATCCACTGCCCCATAGGCTACAGTGCCATCCAACATCAACAACCCAGTGAAAAGGATGCTGAAATTTTATTTGTTAGGGTCTTTATGACTTTATTATGTTGCTGTTATTTCTAAAAATCCTTGAAAATATTTTTATCTTAAAATGGGATATAAAAACTTGTAAGAATAAATTAGCAAGCAGCTTTTTCAGCAATTGTGTGCCGTTTTGCTTTTCCCCTGAGCAATGCTTGCTCAGCCTACTTGAGTCAAGAACTCTGTGGCTGCCCAGCTGGTCACAGCAAAGAAGCACCCAAAGGACCCTCCCATCACTGGATGCACAGCCAGGGCAGCTGAAGGAAACTTGAGCAAAGGTGTGATAAGTTTGAAGGGCCCCATAAAATGCACAGATGCCGCATACCTCATGATTGATGACTGTCCAGCCACAAGATGAATCGCTGTCACTGGAATTTTCTGACATTTTTTAAAGGGCTGAAAATAAAAAACAGGCCTGCTGTGGGAGACTGTTAGGGCTGAGCTGTTGGAGAGGCGACACTGTACTCTAACATACTGCTAAAATTTAAACAGATACATTTGAAATCAAAAAGCCTCCAGTCTGCACTAGAGACCTTGTAGCAGCCAGTCAGTACCATTCAGAGGATTGCAAAACTGGGATAAAGCGCCAACAGGTCTTCAAGTTCCACCTTTCACTACAAAGCCAGGACAGCACCCTCCCACCCATCCTAGGTTCAACCAACAAGACCCAGACCACAATGTGTCCCAAGCTGAAAGCACAGATCCCTCAGGAAAGGGGTATCAATGCGTCAATCCCTCTTTTTATACATTATGTTAGACATTATTTTATGCTGCATCAGGCTAGATAACTGTGCAGTACTAGAACCGAGCATGGTACAGTGCGTGCACAACAGGTTTGCATGGGGCAGTCCCGTACAGGGAGCCCTCCTCCTCTTCTCTAATTAAGGCCTCACATGCAGTTTGCCTGCAGAGCAGCCACGCAGCTAGTCGATATTTGCATCGAGCTGCCCATCACGATCCCAGAACACTTTCCTGGTCAGTCGCGCTATCTCAGATTCCACCAGCCTACAGTGCCGTTAGGATTTGCATGTGTGCCAGGCTGCAAGTCTGCACGTGAGTAGTTGCACCTGCTCACAGGCGACTGCTCTCATGAATGCTGCAGCCCCAAACCAGGAGCCCCAGGCTCTGCAGGAGGTCGCGGGGGTGCTGCAGAGGCCCAGCCGGGCTCAAGTGCCTCGGGAAGCCATAAGCAGAGCACGGAACGCGCACGCCGCTCCCGATGAGGCCGCAGTCTCCCGCGGCGCTTGGCCCGCGTTCAGCGCGGCCGCGGCGGCCCCTCGCGAACGCCTCCCTTCCTGGGCCAGCACGGGCCTCAGACCGCACGGCCGGCTTTCCGCCTCGGCGCAAGGGCCTGGCCGACGCCTCCCCGCGGCTGCCACCCCGGGCCCTCTGAGCGGCCCCTTACCTGAGCGGCTCTTCGCCGGGCAACAGCGGGGCGAGGCAGGGCGGCGGTCACCGGGCAGGCTCCTCTCTCCGTCCTCCGTTCCTCCCTCGCCTCCGGCAGCCGCTTCCAGCCTGACTTCGTCAAAACAACAAACAAGTAGGGAAGAGGTGATGTCAGCGCGCCTGCGCGGCCCGATGTACGCTGGGAAGCGTAGTCCGCTCCGGAGGGGCGCCGCGGCGGAGCTATGCGCGCAGGAACTACAGGCCCCGGGAAGGAGCGGGGCGGCGCGGCGCGGCGTCAACAAAGGGCGGCTGCGGAGGATGCTGAGGCAGTTGCCATGCCGACGTGCGAAGTGCCGACGCCGGTGAGTGCCGGCGGATGAGGAGGAGGAACCGGGCTCGGAAAGGGGCAAGAGCGCCGCGGGCCCTTATGCGCCTTTGGAGGCGCCGCTGCAAGGCCCGGGCTGGCCTGACGCGTCACGACCGAGCAGCTGCCGGCTGGGGGAGCCGCTGCTGGCTAAGCCGCCGTTCTCGCTACCTTTCAGCCTGGCCTATCTCAGGGGATTCTTGCACGGATAAAACGGGAGAAGAGAGATCCTGTATGCTACCTTGAATTCCTTGAAGGAAAGGTGGGCTAGCAAGGTAATAAACGTTTAAAAAGTAGGATTGGTAAGAGCATCAGAAGAGCCTGCTGGGTCCAGCCAAGCAGTCCAGGCTTCTGTTTGCAGTGACCAACCAGATGCCCCAGAGGGAAGCCCACAAGTAGGACGTGAGCACAACAGCACCATCCCATTTGTATCCCGTAGCAGCTGGTACAGAGGAAAACCAACTCCAACAGTAGAGGTAATATAAAGTCACCAAGGCTAATAGTCATTAATGAATAATTCTAGGGATGCAAAACTTCATAAATACATCTTACATGTCAGTGGGCAATTAACCAAACACTCTACCCTTGAGAAAAATGCCTTGCATTGGCATGGCTTTCAAGTGAGATTCAGTGTTTTACAATAGAACTCTCACAACTCATAAAACATAACCATGCATTGATTTTTGAGCATTGCAGAGCAGACCAGCTTATGTGAGCAGAAATCCTGCAGGCTTCAGTGGGTCCATGTAGGAAAAATGGAGGGAAGGGTTCCTTAAATCAGTAGCAGAGCTCCTTTCAATGAAATACAAAGGGTGTGATTTGCACTGAAGGAAAACTGTATGCTGCACAGCACAGCCAGCATACTATTTCCCCTCAGAAGTCCTATTGAATTTAACTGGGTTTCTTTTATATGTCAATTTCTCTCACCCTTATAGGTCACAGTCTGATTTTAAAGAAGTGAATACAGAATCATAGGATTGTACAGTCGGAAGGAGCCCATAAGGCCACTTAGTTCACATCCCTGCTCAGTACAGAATGAACAACAGAATGAACAAACTATCTACACAGCTAGAATTCAGTATTTTGTGAACTACTGATCTGTCAAGGCATACATTGTTATCATTTATTTTATAGGAACCAAGGATGACTTCTGAGGAGAAAATGCTACCACGACCCACAGCAAAGAATGCAGCTTCTTTCCAGTGGCTTCCCTGTGCAGACCCTGGCAATCCTGTCTTTTCTTGTATGCTGGATTCAAAAATTCTCACCACTAGCAATTTCTTAACTAAACCTCAGCCATTGCTCTACAAAACAACCTCAAATGAGTATGGTGCTATACCACCTACTTCACAAATGGTACCCTGTAAATTCTTTCCAAAGGACAACTCCTTTACAAATCATTTGTTCAAATGTGGGTTGACACAGTTTAACTGTATTAACACTGGTGTTGACAAAAGCAAAGTTTACGATTACCCAGATCTTGCTAATACTATATAAAATGTTCTTGGTTACCTCTTAAAATAATAAAGCATTTAAGAGGTCCCAGTTTGGCTTTTCTGTTTAACGGTGTAATAGCATGACATTATAGTTGTAGTAATATACATTACTCAGCATTCCTTCTTGAGTATTTCAGGAAATAAAGATATGAAAGCTTTTATACAATCTAATTATAAGGCTTACTTTTCACTGATGTCATAACTGAACCCTTTTACAATAAAACGCTTTCTCTAGATGTGGGCACACATCACACACACACAACTTACAATCCAAACAAGATGCAGAAAGAATCCCTGAGCTTAAGCCAGGGATAGGCAACCCAGTACACCTCATGTTTTGGACCGTAACACTCATAATGATAGTCCATGCTGGCTGGCTGGAGTTCCTATAGGGCTGGAGAGCACTGGATCAGAGCACTGCCGAGCTCTGATTCACATCTAACCTGCCCCAACATCCTCACTTTTTAAACATGCACAACCCTGCCTGCCCTCATTATGGAGAAGCATATCCTATCTGTGGGGAGCCCTGGTTGCTGGCTGAAATGGTACTGCAAAGATACTGGTTTACCATCTCAGTGAGAACTTGACTGGTGGGTGACTAACCTGATGACCCAGCTTCTAGAAGCACTCCTTCCACCAACTTACACAGATTGTTGTTATGGGCCAAATTCTAAATAGGCTTTGATTACAACTATATTATCTATTGCAAATTAGAACTGGATTCTTTATAAGTACCAATATGCTGCCCAACAGAAATATGTTAATGGATTATTTTCAAGTTGCCTTCTAGAGAGACTAGTGATTATTTCATCACCTTAAGAAGGATATATTTCATCCAAATACCTAATATAATCTGACATCGGCAGACATTTTTTCAGGTTTTTAAATAAACTGAAGCTATGCAAAGTTAACATTCCTTTATTTTGCTTACTGAGCAAGTTACTAAATTAGAAAGAAATCTGCTCTAACTGCATTTAAGGAAAACTTTATAAAGATTAACACAAACATCTCATACAAAATCACGATCCCCACGTGATTCCACTTACTAGGACAGTGGTCAAGTGGTGCAGAAGGACCATGCAGCCATGCACCCAATACAGCAGCAATATCCCTTCCGAGAAGAAAGCTGAGCATTGCCAGCACAGGCATGAAGTTGCCCCCAGCCAAGGGCTGATCACTAAACACAAGGCTGTCTCGGATCATTCACTTGCTTGAATTATACGCCGAATCTTCTCAGCATCTTCTTCCACATTTTTATTTGTAGGCTCAATCTTCAGAGCAGCAATATAATCTTGAAGACCTACAGTTAATTCAGCATAAAAGTTTTAATCCTACAATGGCCTACAATCTATATGTTAAGTTCTAAAGGTGGAAGAGACACCAACTTTTATGGCAGAATCCTATGCAACTACACTTACTTCCAGCTAAGCAGGTACAGGATTACAGCCTAACAGGGAGAATCCATGGCTCAGTGTGGGACAACTGTCAAAGACACAAGCCAACCAGAGCATTCTGAAATGTAGGCCTGTGGGGCAATTCTTCACCATCCATCCCACTGTCCTCCCTTAGCATGAAGCTCAAATTTGGCCACAAAGGCGCATGGTCTCCCATAGGAAACCACAGCATTTGCAGACCAGGCATCTCTTCAGCAAAATACAAATGATACATCAAATACAAAATGCTGCTCCCCAAAGTGAGGTCTGAGAACTGCAAGCCAGATTTCTGAAGTGATGTTTCAGAAACATCAACAGTGGGACATGATCATGAATGACTGTGATGATGCACAACAAGCCCCAAATCCATCTGACTTCTTTGTCGAATGGAAACATCCAGTGAGCAAACAGGTAATTGGAACAGGCCTGCTGTTTTAGGCCCTGCCCTTTTGGAAGCTGCAGACTCTTGCATAAACAAACAGCTGCTCGCTTTTCAACTAACTGTTAATAGTTAAACAAAGATCCACATCACCTTACCTTCAGCATACAATTCCAGTTCACAAAAAGCTGTCCCACGTCTCAAATGAGCTTTCACTCTAGCCTTAGCATTTTCAGGAACAGATGGAGTCAATAAATCCAGGGCCTTGATAAACAAAAATGCACACGCTGATAAATCTGCGATTATATGTAAGCCAAGTTTCCCTTTGACGGCAACGGCAGGCCCATGGATAAATGCCCAACAGTTGTTTCCAACAGCTCGAGTCCTCGTCCCCACTTGCAAAGGCACCTGCCTCTGGAGAGGCACACTGGAATGAACCTGAGAGCTGAGCCTTATGAAGGTGGCTGGTGCCTTGCATCTTAGTGAAGCTCCACATTTGGGAAATATACTTCATCTTTTAAACAGGGATCATCAAATATTGCAAGCAGCAAGCATCACTTGGCCCTAATCTTCAGCAAAGTGTGTGAAAACTTGTCCATTAACTTGTTCTATCCCATATCATAACCTATGAGCCATGACGACGCACCCAGGAATGTTCTGGGCAAGCTAGACAACAACTTGGGACATCACCATAGCAGTGCCGCACAAAACTGCATTCTGCTGGGGTTCAGCTCTGATGAATACTCATCTGGGAGAGGCCAATTTTCCCAGAAATTGGCAGTGCACTCCCAAATTTGAAGAAAGTGGCATCAGCAAATGTGAAATAGTGTTACCCAAGATAGGGTAGTGCTTGTACAGTTGCACCTCTCTGACAAGGGGACATGATGTTTATATATATTCCTATAGTCATGGGGATGACAGTTACCTTGTTCACAATAAATGGGAGCACTGACATGAGACATCACAGAGTGAAAATGGTGTTCCACGATTCACCAGTTTGGAGTGGCAAAAAACCAAGATTTGACCATGGAGTTCAAGTTATAATGGACCCTGTACACAGTGTGCGTCTTTTTGATTGGTGGCACCCACAGTTTCCCTCTTCACACATTTGAAGGTTCCAACACTGTTTACATCATATGAACTGGAAATACTTCAGGAAATCTGATTTTATTTGTAGACAATATTCTGTGCTATCTCTATAAACAACTAAACTTGATAAGCCAGACTCTGTCTGTTGAATAACTATCGGTGGGGGCTTTGTGAACCACCCAGAGAGCTTTGGCTGTTGGGCGATATAGAAAATAAAATATATATAGAAAAATTTGCTGTAGGTCTAAAACCTCTAAGAAAAACAAATACCTTAGATGAATCCTCAATTGCCTTGTGTAGGTTTCTCAGCTTAAGATGGCAAGCAGCTCGATTCAAGTATAATGTTGGAATCTTATTATTAATGCGAAGAGCCAAATTATACGCATTGACAGCAGCAATGTAGTTTCCAGTTTCAAACATTTTACTAAAGATATAAAAATGCTGATGTTAGGAATTTTAGACTTCGTTGGGTATTGCCAACATATATTTTTAGCACTGAGGGAGCATTTAGATGTCGCTTAACGAGCAATTCTATGCATGTTTACAGAGAAAAAAAGGTCCTTCAACTCCCAGCATATAATGATAAGCAGGGCTTTGTTTCTGCAGGGCGTGCATAGGACTTGTGTTCTGATACACTTTGAACAAAGCACACGCCCAGACTTGTTCTCAGAAGGGTTTCATCTGTACCAACAAACATTAGTAAGGGCAAAAATCTTTGAATCTATGCTCATTTTTATTATCTACTTGTATCACACTGAAATATAACCTATATCTTAAGATTAAAATATTTTAATGAAACTCTGTATCATGTTTGTTGATGTCTGTCTGTACTTCCTCTTTCAGTATTTCTTGCTCATTAATTGCTACGCAAAATACGTTAATATCCTTTTGACCTTAAAAATAAGGTCACAAAGTTTTCAAGAATCGTAATAGATTTAGAAGGGGCCAGAAGGTGATCAGGTCCAACCCCCTGCTATTGTAGGACACTAAGTTACCTTGTTCCATTCAGATGATACAGGACTCCAGGTGAGGTGTGACTAGTGTTCAGTATAGGGGAACTAGTACTTCATTTGTTTTGAAAGTGATACTTCTGTTACTACAGCCCAAAATAGTGTTTGCCCTTTATTGCAGCCACATCACATTATTGGCTCATATTCAGTTTGTGATCTACAACACCCCCAAAATCTTTTTCATTTGCAGTATTGTTGACCCAAGTGTTCCCCATCTTGTAGTGGTGCATTTGGTTTCTTGTTGCTAAGTGGAGGACTTGGCATTTGTCCCTACTGAATTTCATCCTGTTGCTCTCTGCCCAGCATTCTAACCTATTGAGAACACCTCTGTCTCACAGAGTATATGCTATTTCACCTAGCTTTGTGTCATCTGCAAATTTAATTATCTTACCTTATACTTCTTCATCTAAATCATTAATAAAATGTGAAAGAGTGCTGGTCCCAGGACAGAACCCTGAGGTGACACTTGCCACCTCTCCCCAATTTCAGAATGTGCCATTGATGAGCACAATGAGTCCAATTTTGCAGCCAGTTGTGAATCCATCTAATGGTTGCACTATCTGGCCAACTTTTTGCTGTTAATAATTCACACTCATCAGGTAAGAGTGATCCTGCCATGGCAGCTCAACCCTATGGCTGGTGGAGAGCATCTTATCAGCCACAGAATTCCTCACTGCTTTGCAGAGGAAGAATTAATTTCTCAATAGCCTTCCCAGCAATCCCTGTAAAATTATTTTTTTTAAATCCAAGCCACTGAATAAAGAGGTCTCATCACTCAATTTCCAAGGGGATTTAAAGGTATGTTAAACTCATATTCAGCTAATGTAATTCACGATGCCTTTTGTAGGGTTTCACACAGAATTCGGAAATAGCATCATGGCTGCCATTGTACCACAGAATAAGGAAGAGCGCAAAAGGCAGAGGCGTTCATGAAATGCTACATGCACGCACTTATGTCCAAACTGCATCCAACCAATTTGTGGGCACTTAATGTCCTTTCTCACACCATCCCTGCCAGGCCCCAAACGTCAAGCCTTTATTCTACATGAAACAGTGTTTTAGGCATGTTTGGAAAACTCTAAACTCGAGGCTTTTGCGAATGGGGCAGCATATAAGTGTTCCAAATAAATAAATAAACTCACTTGCCCTTATCTTTCAACCAATCTGGGTTCTTCTCCTCCTCTTTTAAATCCTCTATCTCAGCAATATCTGCATTTATCATTCTGCGAGCTTCTGCTTGCTTACATAACCACTGTAAATAAAAGATATGCATAGTGTTATTTTGTACCTAAAATAATTCAACTATATTTGCCTAATTTAGTAAATGCATCACAAGAAATATGACAGTGTATGATAATATATGAGGCTTGTTTAGAATTCAGAAGGCAGAAAAAGCTATCCACCTGGAGGGCCGTCTTGGGCCCCACTAACTTCCCAAAGTGGCCATCCAAATAATTCCTGGAGGCCCCTAAGCAGCTGGGTCTTCCTGCCTACCTCCTCCTCCTCTGGAACCCTGGATTCTCTGAGAGCTGTGGGAAAGGCACGAGGGGTGAAATTGATTTTGATGCTACTGGCAGACCGAGGAGCAGGGAGAGCTTCTTCTTTTAGCTTATCTGCAAACATATTTCTGGAACTTCTACCTGCAGCAATTGAAACATAGAAACCTCTTTATTTTTCAATATATCAGTTCACAATAAAAAGGTATCTTAATGGGGAGAGAAAAAGAAGTGATGGCGCAAATGTAAATATATTTTTTTCCTTCTGCTCTTCAGTTGACAGAAATTCGGAGGTTGATAGACATAAGGATGATATAAATTAACAATTAAAAATGAACAAACAAGGCCAAGACTTCATTCAAAATGGTATTTATATATCACTAAACTGGGACAGAGAGTGGGAATTTACTACCACTGCAACACCTGGTATTCTGGGGCAAGTGGGGGGGGGGGGGGAATACTGATTATTTTAAAAAAATAGGCTGCCTTTAAGGATAGAACCTTTTCAAAGCAGCACACAAAACAAAGCAATACAGAACTATGCAAGGCACCTGTACTGAGGAAAGACTGGTCCACCCGCTCCCCACAGATGGTGTCAACAGGAGACCGTTTTGTGGTTGAGCACAAGCATCCTGCTCCAGCCCTGAAGGGTAGTTTAAAATATTCTAAGCAAACAAAGCCAAGTAGGTGGACTCGAAGTTAAACAAGAGCACTACTGGGAGTACTAGAAATGAGGGAGAACAGTACCTGCACAGTGGAATCCCCACACACTTGACGTTAGCTTTTAGCTCAGTGAGATCACGTTACCTCCCATCATTGCGTCTGACTGGGACATCTCTTTCTTGGATTTAATTTGGTTGTTTTCTTGCTTGCTTTTCTCTAGTGTTTCTCCCTTTTCATGATGTGACTGGTGTATTTCTTGAACCTTCTTTTGCTTCTCATTCTGCTCCTTCCATTTCTCAATCTCCTCAGTGGCCTTTTTCCGCTCTTCTTCTTTCTGTTGTTCTATTCTCTTCCTTTCTGCATCTTCTAGCTATTTGAGTTAGACAGACATCAAATCCTGTTCTGCAATTGTTTCACGAAGAATGCTTTGCGACCCACCTCTCATATTCAACACCACAGTTCTATGAGGAAAGCAACTAAGATCCCAGTGTTCCTGCCGCGGAGCTGAAGAGCAGTCATGGTGAGACATTGTGAGGCTACCTGGTACACTCACAGTTGGGCAGGGATTAGAATCAGACTGAGAGCCAGTAGATCAGAGGGCAATTGTGCCATTTTACATTGTTTCTGAAAAGGTAATAAAACCCAGAATGCTCATATCCCTTCCCTCATACCACAACACCAGGACCCCCATTCAGGGCTGCTGCCATCTATAAAACAGCTGAAATCAGACCTCTTATTCTGTGATCAAACAACTGCATACAACTGTTTGCAAGCTGCTTCTCTGTAGCAAACTTCCTTGCTTTATGTCTGGTCTCATCACCAGATTTTCAAATACTGGATTGCAGTCCCAGGAGATGAAAGGCCACCCAGCACAGCTAGAGAGCTCTCACAAAAGACTGGTCATGGGAGGGTGAAAGAAGCTTGAGGCACTGCTAGGAGCAAAGGAAAAGGAGGAAGGAAGAAGGGAAGAAGAGAAGGTAGAACAAAATGGGAAAGGCATAGCAAGGGAGGACAATGGAGAGAAGAAGAAAAGCAGACCTGGATATACAGAGATAAGTGAAATGGATCGTGGTGATGAGAACACAGTCCACACCATGGCTGCATGCTGCTGAGTACTGAGCTAAACAGAGGTGTACAGATGTCTTCATTTTCAGTGTTCAAATACATCCCAATAACAGGTATTATCTGGACAGTTTTCATGTTACCAACAGAAACAACCAAAAACAGAAATATGTGAAAATAAAATGGGGTTGTTAGAGAGCCTACAGTCATAAGGAAATAGAAGAAGTATCTTCCAGGAAAAGGCTGAATGATTAAATGAGTTCTTGGGACTTCAGGAGAAAAGGAACTGCAGAAGAGATGGAAAACAGCATACAAAGAAGGCGGGACTGGAGATCAAACTTCTTTGTAATGAGTGGGGAAAACAGAGAGACAAAGAGAGGAAGATTAAGGATCAGCAAGGAGAAAAGAATGCAGATGTGCTTGCCACAGCTGCAGGTGCACCTCACTTTAGGGCTGCAGTGCAACGTGCAGTATCTGCATCAATGTTTTCGGGAGGTTCCTGGAACACTGGTTCACAGCCCCTTTTCTCTTCCTCTAAGGATGGCACAGGCAGTGCTCGACTTACCTTCATTGTGGCATCAAGAGCAAATTTATTGCGTTCTCGTTTCTGAGTAGCTTTTGCTTCTGCTTCTGCTTGTGCATCCACTTGGGCTTTCTGTACAGCATCCTCTCGGATTCTTTGCATTTTCTCTTTGTCACCTCAAGAAACCATTTCAGCAACAGTTAAAGATGAGACAGTGTGACGGAGCAATTGAGATCTAAGAAAGGAGAGGTGTTGAAGGTGTGTCTGGCAGGAACAGTGACCCTTGCAGGTTAGATGCTGCAAGGAAGGGGAAGGATTTTCCTGAGACTGTCAGCTGACTGACAGCTTCATGCCTCTCATAAACAGCCTGCCCCCAACTTTAGGGTGGAAATAAGGAAGCAAGGTGGCCACAGAGACTGCCAGCGATTGAGCTGCAACCAATCTGATGGGGACCAAGTTGTTCTGCCTGTGTGGGAAGTACAGGTAGAAGGTCTGCAGGTCTAACGTTGTGAACTGCCTGGAGGGGGTGAATAGGCAGGATAATAATAGCAACTCCCCACTTTTGGGATCCTGTGGGCAACTGGCTTGCTCCTGTGTGAACAGAGCGATGGACAAGATGGACCACGAGTCTGATCCAGTAGGGCTCTCCTTACATTCTTGTGACTTCTGAGCAGACCTTCACAGCAAGCATGACTGCTACTCTGCTTGAGCAGAGACACTCACTGCTTCATCTGTTGCACCACACCTTTGAAAAGGCAGACATCAAGCCCACATGCCACTTAACACAAACACTGAAGCCATCCACACCCAAAAATTGCAGCACACCCTGCCAACCCCAGCCTTTTTAGTTTTAGCTTAGGCTAATATAGTATTGAATCATGTACTCTGTTGGAAAGAAATCAGATACATGCATTTCACTCACTCACCAATTCCTACAGAAAGATTAGTATAGTTTTATCATACAAAAATCAATTTAGTCTTCCTGATGGGAAGCTTACCGTTTTCCATAACCAGGGATTCCCACATGACCGTTTCTTTTTTATAGAGGGTGAAGAAAACGGAACCATTCTCGATTTTTGCACTGCTACGAACATCATCTATAGGAGCATACAGAATGGCTTCAAATAAAAAAGGAGGAGAATTCACCTAAGAAGAACATTTGAGAATTGACATGTGTTGGCCTCCATTCAGAAATTTACACAAACAAATGTCATGTCAAATTTTTAGAATGAGTTGTTAATTCCCAAAATGCTTTCCTATCACATTCACATTGAAACAAACTCAACTCTGTTCCTTTAAGCAGAGCAGAAGTGTAGCTAGATCAGCTTAAGGCCTGCTTGGGAAGTTGGCCCATGGAGTGGAAGAGGACTGAATACGGGTCAAAGCTGCAGCCCTAGAATCAGTCTGCCAGTGACTGATACTGAGAACTGTGCTGCCACTGAGGCCTGGAAACAACACATCCTGCCATGCGGGCTAGTCCTTATGATCATTCACACACAGAAACCCAAAATGACATACAGGGCCCACATAGATTATTCCTGTCCCCAGGCTTACAGTTGGAAAGTCATGCCACACATGGTAAAAGAGATGAGAAGGGCAGTGAAAAACCAAACAATCAAGGACCTAGTCCTTAATTAAACCTGGTAGCCATTGGGCTTTACCACCATGGCAGAAAACCCTTCAGAGCTATATAAGTTAGTGGCCATCACTCACCTTTGTGACAATGAGTAACCCGAACCCAACCGTAACTCCTAATCCTGAGCCAAGGGTTGGAGCAGCTCCCCAAGGAAAAGGGGCGACAGTAGTAAGCGCTGCTCGCAGAGAAAACAGGGAAGTGGAGGCAGGCGGTCCCACAGAGGCAGCAAAGCCCGCGCTCGAGCGCCGGGAGATCCCTCTCGGGCCGGGCCTCGCCAAACTCGCGTCGCCTCCCTTCCATGAGTCTTGACCCTCCTGGGCGACGGGGTGCCCTCGTTCCAGCCAGACTGGGGGTGGGCTCTCCGGTCCAGGCACGGCCGCTGCTACGCGGACTGGCAGCGGTTCTCCCGAGGAGGAAACCCTGTCCAGCTCCGCCAGCATCCTCGCCCGTTGAGCCGGACCAGGACCAGGACCAGGACCAGGACCAGGACCAGGACCCGGCCGCGGGGAGAGCGGCTCCTGGAGGCGCGAGGGCGGCGGAGGAAGAGCCAGCCCACCGGCCCCAGCACCCACCTTGAGGTACTGCTCGGTGCAGAAGATGCTGCCAGGACGGAGGCGGGCGGCCCGCACGGGCACGGTCAGGTAGACGGCCTCGGCCGTTTGCTCCCAGCTGTGGTCGCGCACCCAGAGCGGCATGCCGCGCCCGCGCCGAGGGCCCCACGCGTTGCCAGGACCGGCCGGCTGCGCCGCAGCTTCTAGGCTACGGTTTCCAGGAACTTCGCCAGCTACTTCCGGCAAGGGGGCGGGGCCAGCGTAGCGCGCTGCGCGGCCCGCTGCGCGCACGGCCTTTCGGGGCTCGTAGTCGCCTGTCCGGCCGCGGCGCCGAGAGGGACCTTCCGGCTTGCGGTGGCGGAGCCCTGCTGGATGGTCGGTTATGGTCCTGCTCTTACACGGCCCTCCTCTCCGGTCGGCCCTCACGACAACTCTGCGGGGTCAGCCAGCGGAGAACAGGGACCGGCCGGGCACAGGGGCTGCACCCGTCCTGGAAAGCCAGCCGATCGCCCGAATCCCGCACGTGCTGCCTCGGCACAGGTCGTGCTGGCGCCAGCGGGGCTTTTTCCCGGGCGGGCAGGCAGGCCAGGCCTGGCGTCGCAGCGCTGGCTGGCAAGGGCGCTCTGCAGAGCAGCACGGCTCGAAAGCGCCGCTGATCCAGCTTGGGTGCTCCTGCTTTTGCCACCCCATCACGCTCCGGAGCCCCCAGACTCGTAAGAAATCACCACTTAAGAGGTTATGCCCAAAGGCAGCCTCATCGCGGTTCTCGCAACAAAACTTCCTCACAAAATTATGCAGAGATGACACACATTTCATGCAACAGAACACATTCAGTTTTCCTTTGTTACCTCAACAAGACTTTATTATATTCATTTTGCAAGCACTTAATTTTTTCTGGCTTCCATGTTTTTTAAAAAACTGAAATACTAAAAATGTCAATAATGGATGAAAATTCTGTTTCTCTGCCCTCACGCTTGTTTAGATGAAGAGGAATTCTTACATCTTTAAACAAACATAGGATTGTCATTTGGTAAAAATGATCAAAAGGGCACCCCTTTTTCAGCGTCGGACATTGAAACATTTAACCAACCACTTACACTGGAGACAAATCCTGTATATGCCAAAAGACATTACAGCAAGTGAATCTTTTGCTATTCTCTGCTAGAACTCGGCTTGTAGTATTAGACCAGCTAGCTATTCATTGACATAAACACATTTCCTATACTTCATAGAGTAGCTTAACACACACCATGATATGAAATCATTTGTATTACATAGTAATTTAAATTCTTACTAAGGGAATAATAATGGACAAAGTCTGGGAGCTTGTTTCCAATTTGAATTACATACATCAACTTTGTCACACACCACAGTACTAATGCATGTGTTATTTCAGACATGCCTAATTTATTTATTTTAAAGTTGTTGCAAAAATAAATGTCACCAATGTGGAACACATTTGAGATTTTATAAAAGTACTGAACTGATATCCCAAAAACAGGTATATGTAAGCAGTACAGAAGGAAAGACTAGTTTTAATATGAAACAGTCATTAAGTCACATACAACAGAAAGGACACATGGCCAACTAGGTATAAAAGGCTACACACACACTTTTTACTAGCAAGCAAGGTTCCATTTATATCTAAATTGAGAGAGAGGTACAAGCATTCTAAACAAGTAGTAGTAAAATGAACTAAAATGGGAAAAAGCATCGTATTTCAGGACCATTGGTTTTGTATAATAAAAAAGCAAAGCCTCAAAACCAGAAATACAGATCTATTTCAGAAAGAATACTTTCCCATAATTAGCATGTATGAAATAGGATCCTGCGAGTCCTTAAGCTGCTCTGTCAAGGAAGATTTTAAGATTTTTACCTGCATGGCTAAACTTGATCCTGCTCTCCTGATCACAGAGGGCAGGTGGAAAGAGAGACGGAGGCCTAGTCCAAGTTTGCTTCTAGCCTGGGCCTGGTGGTGGAGGGGGTGCCAGCGGTGGGCCTGGAGTGCCACTGGGCCTCCTGAGGACTGAGTGCCCCCAGGGCATCCCTCTCAGGCATCTGAGGCAGCAGGCGGAGCCCCTTCCTTGCTGGGCTGGGAGTTCAGAGCCCCCTGAGCATGCGGAGGACTCCTCCACGGGGGCCCCTTAGGGACCCAGATGCTCCACGGCCAGCACTGATCACATTCGGCAAATGAGGGCCAGCAAGATGCAGCAGGGACGCTTCAACAGGCCTGCAATGAAGACCACAGAGGAAAGGACAAATGCTGCCCCCGAGGGGTGGGACCCGGCACCATTTAGCACAGCTGGCAAATTCCTGACCTTTTTCATTTCAGAAGGGTACAGGGAGAGCCACTATGGTGATCCCAGGGACGGTGACTCTTACAGAGGTTAGGGAGCGTTCAGTCGTTTCTCATGCAAAAGAGACGAGCGGCTGGCTCAGACATGATCCCGCTCTGTGCAGTGCCCAGGTCCCTGCTCGGCGCCACAGCACGGGTGTGCTGGAGCAGCATGCGCGAGCCTCCACTCCGCAAGCATGCCTCCTCTGGAAAAGGAAGGCGGGCGCCTGCACCAAGCAGGCCCCAGTGGGCTCACGGGCCAAGCTGGACAGTCCCAGAAGAGGGCCGAAGGCCGCTAAGTATCAGAGATGAAGCAGATTTCTGGAACAGTCTTTTCCAACACAGATGTGCAAGCCCAGACCTGCCCAACGACCGTAGGGGCCAATGCATGCTGGCTGAGGTAGCCGAACGGAAGCTGAGCCCGCTCCTCTGAGGTGTGTGCCCGCCCCTCGGACAGCGCCACATCCACCGCCTGCCTTGGGATGGGATGAGCCCCACGGCGGGGGGCTGCAAGGCGAGGTCCCCCCATCGCCTTGCCATGACTCAGGGAATGGACCTGCGGGCCCCTCTTCTTGGTGCCCAGTGTGCCGTCTCCTGTGGGCCCGGAGAGCTCCTGCTTTCCCTTGGATTGCAGGGCACCGGTGCGAGCGCTTCCCAATTGCCTCTGGGGTCACGCTGTGGTTGGACTGCCAAGGCTGGCTGGCTGGGGGCCCGTGGGCAGAGCCTCTCTGCAGGCGGCACGCCCAGCTCTGCCTTTCATCAAGTTCTGCGCCTTTGCGTAAGGAACGAGAACAGCTGCACGCCCTCTGTGCCGCCTGCCATGCACTCCTCGCTGACCAGTGAAGCAGCCCCACGGCACAGCGGGGACACCCTCCCCTCCGCCACTGCCAGGGCAGCCGAGTGAGGCAGACCCTGCACGGAAGGAACCCCACGGCTGCCGCAGGGATGGCTTTTGCCCTGGAAGAGCCTGCGGAGCTGAAGATGCCAAGGCGTAGTTTGACTGGGATTTCAACAACAGTTTAAAAGCTTCCCCCAGGCCCCAGCGGTGAAACTGGGATGAGGGAATGAGAGGCAAATGGGAACCTGCTATCACTTGATTTTAGGAACGTCACAAATCTCAGAACAGGGAACTGGGACAAACCGTGCTGTAGAGAACCCGAGTCTCCCAGGTGCCATGTTCAACTGCACCGCGTCTGCCTGGATTTGCCTTCCACCAGAATTGGGGCTATTGCACCCAAAGCCATCTGCCAAGCTCCATTCAGTCACCTCCAAAGGAAAGGGCTGGGATCCAGACAGGTAGACCACCACCACTCCTGGACTTGTGGACACTGGCCTTACCGGAACGGCCAGTCGCCACAAGAGTTTTACTGGTGATCGCCTTCTGTTGTCAGAAGTTCTACACTTCACTTCATCTGGCTCAGCCACACTCATGCAGATTTTCGGGTTAAGAGATGCTCTGCTTTTCTCCCACTGCTTCGAAATGATTGCCAGGCATGAGAAAGGGGAAGGGCCATTAGGAAAGCCCAAGCCAGAAGGCGCTACGAGCATCTGCCTCGGCGGCCACTCTTCTGCCCAGGCGCCAAAGCGCTGCTCCCCAGCGGGCACGAGGCCACGCCAGGTGGAAGGAGGCAGGAGGGCCTCACGGCAGCCTCGCTTTCTCCAGCTGGGGCGAGGGAAAAGTCTCGGGCGAAAGTGCGCGAGGCCACTTCCCCTCACCCACCAGCTCAGAAGAGGGGCTGGCCGGATGGTGCATCGTCTCCCTGGACTCCATTCAGTCACGCAGGGCGCCTGGACAGGGGGATGCGGCGAATGCAGCCTTGCCAAGCTCCTTCCGAAAACGCGTCTGCTGCAGCCGTTCTCATCTTGCTGCCGAATAAGCACTCCGACCCCCAACTGGCACGTGTCACCCTGAAGAACCCAGCCAAGAGGCTGGCCAGAGCAGCACGTGGTCCTACCGAATGCACTGGAGTCGTGACCGCACCAAAGCCATTTTCCGCTTGCCCCGAGACTAGCGGAAAAAGCCACGAGAACCACCTCAAAGCCGCATGCATCTCCAGCCACAAAGCACCCGGCGTTCTGAACGCTTTCCCAACGGTGTGGCTCTTTCCACATTGCCTGGGAGAGCAACACGGCACAGCCCCACAGGGGCATCCCCGCTCTGCAGCACAGGCGTGATGTTTGCCGCGTGCCACTCTCGCTCGCACGGGTGCCTCCTGAGGCGCAAAGGCTGAAGGACGACCTGCGCACAGTGCCGAGGGCGCCCCTCGGAGGCTCCCAGGGGGGGCACCAACGGGGGCGGCTGCGACACTCCACTTGCAGCATGTACAGCGTTCTCGCTGTACCCAGGCACACGCCCTTGGAGAGAGCAAACCGTTCTTACGGTTTGAGACAAGCAAGGCATCACAAGTTTGCTCTCGCACGGGAGACGCTTAAAAGGATTCCATCTTGCCATAATGGCAGTCACACGCCCCCGCACCCAGCTCTCCCCGAGAGCAGCAGCCCATGTCTGAATGGCAGGCTGGCAGGAAGGCCTCACACTGAGGAGGGCAAAATCTTGGCCACAAGCCCCACACTGTACCCCGTGGGGCACGGAAGAGCAAGAAGTTAACAGCGCAGAAATGTGAGATGCCCCATTGGGAAATGACTCTTTCCTTGCTTCCCTGCAATGGCAACGATTTTTTTCCTGCATAGGCTACTACGTTAACTTCTAATATCCAAAGATGAAGGAGCAGCAGTATGGAGGAAGACCCAGGTTAGTCTGCGTAGAACTCGCCGAGCCCCATGGGCTCCCAGTGGGCCGTGGGGGTTCTGCTCTTCCCAGACAAAGAACGTGGCCAAAACTCGTAGGATCAGGATCCCCCCCGTCTGTACCACATGCAGTGGCCACTTTTCCACATTCCTCTGGCATTGCTTGGGACTCCCAAGATCTTTGCATGCCTGTGGCAGCCCTGTAAACTCAACGAAACCACAATCACTGAAGCAAGGTGGGATTTCCCCAAAGGGCAAGGGGCCAGTCCTGGGGGAAGATTCTAGCGGAAGGTCACTTCTGGCCAGTGCCCGGCACCAGGACAGGACCCCCATGGCCACACTCGCCACACAGCATCCTGTCTGGGCACAACACCCCAACAGCTACAGTGTGTGAGGAGAAACCCGCAGGGAGTGGCCCTTCCCCACCAAATGCCCCCAGGGTCAAGCCATGGTCATAAACACAGCCTGGGGCAGAACGGAGGCAGCAGAAGCAGCCCAGCTGGGAGCAGCGGCAGGACTGGCGACCCATGAGCTGGGGTGGGCTGAAGCTGCCTGGGCTCTTCCAGCGGCAGCCACCGGGGATGTTGCAGAAACGGAAGCGAGGGACAGCAGAGCAAGCAAAGCAACATTCACAGTCGGGGTGGGGGAGTCTGCATGCCTCAGTGGGCCCAGTGGAGTGGGCCCTGGAGTGGGGCCACCTGCACCAGGGCCTCGCCACTCGACCCTGTGCCCCCCCAGGAGAGAACAGGCGTGCCCTGTGGGCTCCCACGGACTCAGTGGAACCACGCGTGCGAAATCCTCTCAGACTGCCCTCGTGGGCAAAGAGGGAGTCGAAGAGCCCAAACCGCCCAGTCGGCACCGCAGTGGAGAGGGGGCCGCATCGTGGCTGCAGGGGAGCTGCCCAGCTTGGGTGGGAACATATCAGGAGAATCTGAATTCTGCCCCCGAGAAAAAGAGGGGTGAGAAAAAGATGGCTTTGGGCTTCAGGCAACTCATCTCAGCATGTTTGCTCGGCCCCTGGACCCTACGAACCTTCCTACTGGGCAAATGCCTTTGGAAACGGGCTGCTAAAGACCACACCAGAAACGCCTGCTGGGCATGTCTGCAGAAGTTGCTAAAAATTGGCATGTTTCTTATGAGAATCCTACACAGCCGACTCATGTTTTCTGAAAGAGACACTGTAGAAATACGGATGGTTTGAAATAAACTCAAACCCGAGTTGTACATGATAGTTTCAGCTAGTGTACAGACAGACATTGTTGATGTTTGTCTCTGAAGTATTGCTCAGTTTTTCTCCCTGCATCATATCCTTTACCTTTAGAACTTAAGGAAAGCTCCAAAGAGAGGACAGTAGTCACTCCCAACAAGAAAGCTGCGGGGATTCTGAATTCCAGCCACTATTCCGCTCTTGCAAAGCATGCCACAATCAGGCCGAACAGCCCAGACGGCTTCTGCTCACACCGGCAGCTCGCCAGGGACACCGTCACTTGCCATGTGTGCAAAACCAGATGCACAATCCGCTTCCAATCAAGCATTGCCTAGCAGTTCGTCTGATCAAAGCTGAGTGCACTTTGGGCAGAAAACAAAGAAGACACAGACCAATGAACAGAGATAAGATAAAGGACCCCCCCCCAAAAAAAAAAATCCCAAAGCAAAACAGAGCTCCTGGAGGAGTGCCGCGGAAGCATCCCAGAAAGGCTGGGCTAGCGGAGGGTCTCACGCATCAGCATTCAGCGCTGGCGGCCCGGCAGTCTCCCTGGTGCGCATCAGCTGGACGCCTTTGTCCGCCATGCAAGTGTCACAGCCCCACACTGCGGAGGCCTCTGCCGTGAGCAGCCCGTACGCCGACTCGGTCATGCCCGTGCAGATCCGGTGAAACCACTTCTGACAAGAGGCCTCACACAAGATGGCGTCCTGGTCGTCATTCACCTCGTGCGTGCAGATCCCGCAGGGGTAGACGGGCTCGGCGGGGGTGTGGCCGTGCGGGCCGGGGTGCAGGGGGACTTTGCTGCCTTTCTCAGAGCCGCCTCCCTCGGCGGCCCCTCGCGGCAGGCAGGGCTTGTTCTGGGTCCCGTTGGCGTGATGGCTGTTTAGATTTTCGGCATTTTTCGGAGGGATGCTCTCCTGGTTGGCTGAGATATTTCGACTCACAGCTTTCACGTCGGTATTTCCTGAGCTCACGACGTCTTCTGTTCCATGCGGGTGCTGCTGCTGCTGCTGCTGCTGCTGCGGTGGTGCCGGCGGAGGGGCGTTGCCGTGCTTGTTTGCACCCGGCTTTTGAGAAGGCTTTGTCTGGCCATAACTGTTTGGCAGGGCACCGTAAGAATGGTTCGATTCCATTTGGGAATTATTAAAGTTGGGATTGTTGCCCGGTCCAAAATGCAAGGGCATGTCATGGTGGGACACCGGAGTCGTGTTCTGGGAAGGCATGTGGCCAAAGTTCTCTCCAGGATTTGGCCTGAAATGCTGGCTGGGTATGTTGATGTTTTGATTCACGTTGGGGTTATAGGGTGGCTGGTTTCCAAAACTGGCATTGTCATGTGGCCCAAAGTTAATGGCCTGAGGCCGATTGAAGACCATCCCCACCGGATTCTGCGGAAACGGATGAGGCTGGTTTCTGAGCGGGTAAGTTGCACCATATGGTGAGGCCATCCTAGGAAGCATATGGGGAGGCATTCTGAACGTGTTGTAGCCACCAAAGCCAGGGTAGGTGGGATTAGCAAAGTAAGGATTTCCCGATGGCAGCGGCTTGTAAGAAATGGTGTTGTAGTTGTCGTCAAAGGGATTTGCAGCTATGAGGTGATCAGAGCTTGGATTCGGCGGAGGAGCATATTCAGATGGTGGAGGAAAGGTAGACCCCTGGACACAGCAGAAGCAGAAATCAGCATTACGTTCAGCTCAGCAGAAGCAGCAACACATGAAAACCAGTATTTCTCTTAGTCACTTTCCGTGGGTAAGGCAGGAGAGCCTCTTGAAAAGGTGGGACAGTTGATTTCAGACTCCCATGAGCCTTTTCGTCCTTCACCGTGAACCCCCTCCTGCCACTATCCCCCGCACAAACCCCCCACAGTAGCCACACCCTCCCACCCATGACCCCTCAGACCAACTGCCTCTAGCAGCAGTCGGGGCCTCCAACTGTGAGGGAAACGATGTGGGCACTTCCCGGCTCCTGCCAATAAATAGCTTAGGGTACTTTACCAAGTTGCCCTTATGCCTTATCTTGGTGCACCTTTTTGCTCAGGGTGGTACCACCAAGAGGGCTCCTGAGGAGGCTGGTGCACAACGGGGGAAAGAGGCCCCCGGCTGCACTATGTGCCAGGAGAAACGCGAAGCCACTTACTTGTGCGTTTGACTTGCGCTTTTTCTTATCTGGGCTTCCAAGTTGTACTCCTGGGCCTCCTAATCCGTCCAATCCAGCATCACCACCTAGAAGATGCCAAAATATACAGCTGTGTATTTAATTCCACAAGAGACGGGGCCTTGCAGGCACGCTGTGCAAAAAAAAGCCAGCTCTGCAACTGCTCCTGTTTTGGAATCTCCGAGATCTTGCAGCTGGTTACCCAAGCTGTTTTGTGCTCAGGCAGCTACGTACCCTCTTTCCCCCACAGGCTATGGCCAAGCACATGCTCATGCAGCAACAAAGCCCCATGTGCTAAGCTGTGCAAATGCTGGGGGACGGCTTTCCTTCGTGTGTGAGGTTCTCCTTCTCAAGCGGGTTTTGCAGCCTGCAGAAGAGCGGAAGCTGTTCCATGGCAGGGACCTTCTTGGCTTGCAGAAGGCCCTGGGTCAGTGCCCGGCATCACTTGGAAGAACCCTGCTTGAAGCTGCCCAGGGCTGCCACCGAGCAATGACAGGACATGCTAGATGGGCCCGGCAGGGTCTGAATCGGCACCTGGCAGCTCCCGCACTCCTTCACACTGCAATCCTAGGCACACCAACGGGGAGGGAAGCTCCACAGGATTTGACTAAGTTTACACCCACCACAACAGCCTAAATAAGAGGCCTGTTCTAACCCAGAGACCAGCAAAACAGCTGCCAAAGGGAGACAACACAAAGACCTCCTGCTTTGGGGTTGCCACAGATCATCTTTCAGTTCGCAGGAATATTTAAGCTGTCCAGGCCTGCACCAATGAAGATTAAGAAAGCTTGAATTTCTGTGCCATTTAGAAGATGGCGACTGAATCTGTCAAAGGTTACTTTCACACAAAAGCAACATTTGTTGGCTCAGTCAGCAAAAGGGGCAGTATACAGTAGAGTTCTGAGCAAGCCAGTGCAGGCAAAACACACCAATCTGGAACACAATGGAAATGGATCAGCCTGTTTGTTCATGGCCTGCTTAGTGCAGGCCCTTTCAGGCATGGAATCTGCCAAACCTTTATAACGGGCCAAGGATTGCCACTGGTGGGTTCCTTTGGGGGAGGTGGCTGACACACCATCAAATAAGCTATCTGGCTTCAACCACCATTCCCAGCACCCATTATGGATTCATGGTATGTTTTTCTGATAAGGTATCAGGCACATTTCAGTTTGGGCAAATGGCATATACAATTATTAAATCATGCCACCATCCCCACTGTCTTTGGTGGTCAACCAGAGGATAGGTTGTCATTTACATTCAGCCTCAATCCCAGTCCCTCTGGCCAGTGAAGGGCAGCAAAGAATCTGCGAACATGTGCAGAGTGACCAATAGACCCTCGAGCGCCGTGGAGATCCAGCTTGGAGGGGGCGTCTGCTGAGCGGCTTGGCCCTAGGACAGCTTCGGGATCACTGCTCCCACCGGCCGTCCCGCTCTCCGGGCCGGGCCCTGCGCCCACAGGCGGTGGCCCCGTCCCCTCCGCCGCGCCAGGGCTGGAGAGCCGCTCCTCCTGCACGTGGCTCCAGCGCCGCGCTCCGCGGCCCGGCCTGCCTCCGCCAGGGGCCGTCCCCGGCGCCAGGGCCCCCGGCGGGGACGCGCCTTCGCGCCGGCCGCGCTGCGCTGACAGGGCGCGGCGCCTCGCCGGGCCACACCGGGCAGGCGGGCCGCTCCCCGCAGGCCCGCGGACGCCCCCGGCCTCGCCGAGCACAG